GTACAAAGTCTGTCCCTGACAATCATTATCATCAAATCAGCCTTTAACTGTCCACTGCTGACATATGCCTCCCCCTTAGAGGGGGGAGGGGGGGACTGCCAGTAATTGTCACGCTTGACTGGCGGATTGGCAACCGTAGTTAGGCTCTGGAGATGTTTTAAGAGGGACGCTGCTGCTCGTCCCTCGCCTTCCCTTAGTCGCCTCTTACGGGAAAGCAAAGGGTGGTCTATTCTATGCTAGGACCACACGGCAAAATCTCTGCTAATATAATGAACAAAATTCTAATAATAATCAATGTTTAAAAACGAATGCCTTGGTCCTTGTCCTTCTATGAGCTTGCTTAAATATACGAGGACATTGAACAAAAGGGTCGAGCTCAGGGATTGCCAGTGTTTCGAGTGGGCCGCAAACCATTATCTTATCAACTCCTATCACAACACTCGACGGATGATCACGATAGAATCGCTACAATTGATTTTTTCCGACATAATGTATTATTTTCATGTGCCCATTATCGGATATTTGGCAATCGGATCGTACGATGCCCCGGCGACCGTGAATTCTGTTTCTATAGAAATGTATTTTTTTTTTATAGAGAGGCAAACGAGTCAACGATACCTCTTGATGGGAATTGGCTATCGTCGCTTACGAACGCTTGCAACACAAAGGAAGTTGCTCCAGTTATAAAAAATTTGCATTTGTAAATTTTTTATTTACTTACTTTTTTTTTATCCAACTTAGAATGGCAAACAAGCTGACGGCCCACCTGATGGAAAGTGGTAACCGTCGCCTATAGACATGAGCAGTACCATGGACATAACAGTATGAGTATCAGCTTACAATCCTTTACAGTAAAATTTTTAGATCTCCCCATTTTATTTACAGAATTCTATATAAAATTATAAATCCAATAACCATTAGGTCATCCCCAAGGATTAGATTTAAGAATTACCCACTTGCAATAAAGGGGTGTTAATGATAACGTTGACAGAAATAGTGTTGTCCAATAATTCACGAGATTCGATAAATAATCGAGAACAAGTCGTTTTATATGTCAACATGGCTGTAAATAGTTACGTGACGTTTTTAGCGTGTCCTGGTGTAAGGTTCCATCGTGCGACGTGACCGGGGCAGCTTGATTACCCATGTTAAACGGTAGTCCGTCTGTCTCCATCTTAAATAGTCGGCCAATCCACATCAGCCGTCTATTGTCCACTGTTGAACAGACCTCTCTCAAAAGGAGGGTTTACAGGTAGTTGCTACGCTTGTCAGGTGTTTTTTTTTAATGGACGATAATGAAATAGTTACCCCGCCTGCGCTAACGGTATACACTGGCGGGAAGGGATTGTTACTAATATGGACTACCAGTCCTATTGCTAGCAATATACCCTGTCAGGTCGACCTCTACGTGGTCCCCCCTGGAAACCGTCGTGCTGAATTCCAGGTGTATCCATCACGATGGGCTAACTGACTTGTCTTTTCATTCTCACTTATCCTTCACTGGTGCCCCGCCAGCATATACCGTTAGCGCAGACAGGGTTATCATTTCATTATCATCTATTAAAAAAAACGGTATACACTGGCGGAGCACCAGTGAAGGATGATAGGTGAAAGTTTAGCAGGTCAACTGGACTATTGTGACTAATTTAACAATAAAATTAATCACAATAGTTTCCGGGGGGAACCGTGTGGAGGTCGACCTGATTGGATATATTATTAGCAATGGGATTGTTAATTCCCATTTCTACCAATCCCCTCTCCCCCCAGTAATAAGGTTGTTGGACACTATTCTGGTAGGTGGGTTGGCAAGCGTTGTCAGACTTTGGTGAGGTTTTAAGTCTCAACCATTAAGTTCCGGGGGGAAAGGGACTGTTAGTAATGGAGACTGAGAATCCCATTGCTAGCAATATACCCAACCAGGTCGACCTCCTCGCGGTTCTCCCTGGAAACTATCATGGTTAATTCCTGATGAATTCATCACGATGGCCTAACTGGCCTCTTTTCATTCTCATCTATCACCCTTCACTGGTGCTCCGCCAGCGTATCCCGTTAGCGCAGGCGGGGCTACCATGCCATTTTCCCCTATCAAAAAAAAAACATTAAGTTCCCTTAGTCGCCTCTTACGACACCCACGGGAAAGGAAGGAAATTAGCAAATATCTCAAATACTATGCGTGTGGCGGCTTTTAAAAAGAAAGTTGACAGCCTACCTAATGAATAGTGGTATCCGTCGCCTATAGACGTGAACCGTACCATAGACATAACATAGTATACTTTGTCGCCCATGATATCCTTCATGCGTTGCCATTCCAGAACACTAAGCTGTTATACTTCTGTACCCTGTAATTTCATTGTCATATCTCACCCTTCAAATCGGAACAACTGTGCAAATACAATTACTTCATGGCAGAAACACGAATGGGACCGAGGTACCCAGACAATTTTGTACAAAGTTTCCCTCTGGTTGACTTCAAATATTAAAATCGTTAACTTCAAATAATCGAATTTAAAGCATTGTAACAAAATACCAAATATTATTCGAATTAAAATAAAAGAGTCCGTAGACAGACGCCTAACGCAACTTTGAAGACGTATTAGAATGAAACGATGTTGGGGGATAACAAGGTAAGTATGATAAGAGTTTGATCGTTATTTGTATAGCCAACAGATGTCGCGGTAACGGAGAACATTGTAAACAAATTGTGAAGACAACGACACGAGTCGATGTAGACCTTTATATTTTTAGATAGACCACGATATTTTATGTTTAGAACGATCGTACTAAAGACATAGATGAAGAATACTTACTTACTTAATCTGTGACTGGAGTGTACCAAAGTGTGGTTAAATTTACTATTATTTTGCCAGAGGGAGACTTTGTACAAAAGTCGATTGCTTGGGTACCTCAGTCCCATTCGTGTTTCAACCGTAAAGCAGCTATGTTTGCATGGCTGTGTTTCGGTTTGAAGGGTGGGATATGGCGTGAATTTACTGGGTACGGAGGAATAACACCTGAGTCCTCAGGAATAGCAACGCATGGGGGGTATCATGGGCGAAACAGTATACTCTGTTATGTCCATGGTACTGCTCATGTCTATAGGCGACGGTTACTACTTTCCATCAGGTGGACCGTCAGCTTGTTTGCCATTCTAAGTAGTATAATTTTTTTTTTCTGTTTATTTTCAAAATCAACTAAACGATTTTCAATGTCTATAAATGATTATTTAAAAAGTGCTTTGATAAAGTATTAAAAATATACCTAATTGGTAATCATAGAATAATCTATTCTATGTCCGTTATCACACGACTAGACGCAAATTAAATTTCCATCAACATTACCCGGATGAGTGGCGTTCCACTACGTTACGTCCAATACGTTACACGCGTCACTTCATACCACGTACTGTAAAAATGTGGCACAAATTACCTACAGCGGCATCTCCTAATAAATACGACACGGGCATCTTCAGGAAAACAATTTATGCCTTTTTAAAAGGACGACGACGCGTTGATGAGTCCCTTGTGTCGTTAGTGACCATTGGCTGCGGTAGTCACTTACCATGAGGAGAATCGAGTGCTCGCTTGTTTTTTTTTTAATGGATGATAATGGAATGGTAATCCCGCCTGCGCTATCGGTATACACTAGCGGAGCACCAGTAAGAGATGATAAGTAAGGATGAAGCAGGTCAGGAACCACGAGGAGGTCGACCTGACATATTGCTAGCAGGTATATTGCTAGCAATGGAGCTACTAATCCCCATTATTAACAATCCTTCTCCTCCTAGTGCTCGTTTGTTTGTACCCATTCACATATATATATTCCCTCTCGGGGAGAAAGGGATTGTTGCAACCCCATTGCTAGCAATGTAGCCTATCAGATCGACCTCTACGCGGTTCCTCTTGGAAACCATAGTGGTTAATTCTTGTAAAATTCATCACGATGAGCTAACTGACCGTCTTTCATGCCTCTTTATCTTATTTCCCACTGTTGGCCCAGCAACGTATACCGACAGCATTCCATTCACACCCATTAAAAAAATTGTCCCTCTCTATAAGAGAGCTAGGTCTATTTCGGAAGTTCTTCAAAAAGTTACTGTTTGCACCTCTTTCTTATTCTGTTTATACTTTGGTGAAAATCAATGCGATAATGTGAGAGCACTTTAAATATATTACAGTATTGTTTCGGTTAGTCGGTGCTTCTATGTTTTTAAATTTCTTAGTATATTTGTACTTTTATCTGACTACGGCGATGCTAAAGGAGAGTTTTTTTTAATGCATGATCAATGGAATGGTAACCCCGCCTGCGCTAACGGGATACGCTGGCGGGGCACCAGTGAGGGATGATAGGTGAATAATGAAAAAAGCAGGTCAGTCAGCCCATCGTGACGAATTCAATGATAAATTAGTCACGATGGTTTCCAGGGGGAACCGCATGGAGGTCGACGTGATACGGTATATTGTTAGCAATGGGAACTAACCTCTTCATTACTAACAATCCCTTCCCCCCGCTAAAAGGAGGGCTATGATTTCGATCGGTATGTATGTATGTGTGTTTATGAGATATGTCTACAATATTTGATAATAGTATCAAAGGGTATTCAGAACAAATAACCATGCCATGTTTTAGTTTCAAAATATTGAGTAAATAAGGAATTTGGCTCTAAAAGCGTGGGACGCAAGAGTCAAATTTTGGAAATATTAGGAGTCGCGTGTTAGACACGTGCCGATACGGACAGCATGGCCTCGGATGCCCGACGGCTAAAGATTTATTGCTTTCCGAGATTTAATTGAAAGGCAAGTTGTACGAGAAAATTTAGTGAACATTTTTTCTTATGATACTTAAAATGGCAAATAAGCTGATAGAGCTCCTTGTTCTTAGGGACATAGTCGACATCTATAGACATGTCATGTATTTACCATTAAATATTGTTGGGAGCAATTTAACAGCAAAAAGGTTTTACATCTAAATCGTGACCAAAAAGATTACATAAAAAAAATAATAACTTTCAAAAATTAAATTATACGTCAAAGAAATTTTCATCACTATACCCTGTATTAATATTAAAACAGAACATGTAAAATAAAGAAAAAAATAAGTATAATAAAAAAAAATGGTCCCTATCATTGTCTTGAATTGAGTGCTTCTTTAATTTGGAAGCTGTGCTGTATTAAAAATGGCTAGGTATGTAATCAGTTACTGATAATAAGTACATAATACATTAGATACGTATTTATGTCTTCTATGTATTTTATATTAAGACATATGATATACGTCTATGTAAAAAAATGTCGGGCAAGGCATAGTATTACGAACTAGGTTTTTCTAGGATGGTAACACGTGAGGAATATCACAGTATACTCTATTATGTCCATAGTACTGTCCATGTCTACAGGCAACGATTACCACTTTTCATTCTGTAGATCGTCAGCTTGTTTGCTGTTTTAAGTTGTTTAAAAAATACCATCGGCATATGAGCATATCCATGTTTTTTTAATTTTCATGATGGGTTCATATTTATAGATACCGACTATTTTCTACGTATGAAAAAAATAATGTTAAATCTATGCACCAAAATTTCGTTGAAATCCGTTCAGCCATTTATCTAATGTGATTGAGTAACAAACATCCAAGCATACATCTTTATAAACTTATAAAAATGTATATTGTTTCTAACAATATTACTGATAAAATTATTAATTAAAATTATTTTTCACCCATAAAAAAAAAATTAAATTTTTCAAACATTACTGATCTATGAATAATGTTGCTTGGAAACTATAATATTACAAGCTGTTACCTGCGTCTTTGTGCACGTCATCGATAAAAATGCAGTCTATATCTTTCTTTATCACCAATAGTACTTATGTGTACCTAAATCAATTTACTTGATCTTATATCCGCATATAGGGTCAACTAAGCCGTTGCACGTCGACCCATCACGATCTTTTGTGCTTCTCCCTGCCTTATACCATCATTTCGTAGATCGTATGTGTTACCTTAACGATATTCGCGTTTTAAGATATCTGTAGTCCCTTGGCTCTGCGTACGCCTTTTCCAGTACTATTCAATCCATTTACTTGATACTTGGTTAAGTCGTCAAGGCACTGAGAGGTAATAAACTGAGTTTGTTTGTTCATTGTTGACTTGCCAACTGCTTAACAAAATCTTTCACTTTATAATGTTACTACCTTTTACCCGTGACTACGTTCGTGTGACCGGGATATGTTTATTATATTATGTATGTATGTATGTATGTATGTATGTATATATATATATATATATATATATATATATATATATATATATATATATATATATATATATATATATATATATATACATACAACTTATAATGGCAAACAAGCTGACAGCCCACCTGATGGAAAGTGGTAACCGTCGCCTACAGAGATTGCTTGGGTACCTACAGAGGTACCCAAGCAATCGACTTTTGTACAAAGTCTCCCTCTGGTAAACTATATACTATACCTAAGGTATTAATTAGCTATACCTAAGGTAATAAACAAACATAAAACAAAAAGTAGTAAAAACAAATTCTCTTCTCTATTCCTTGTAGTATCTACATATATACCTAATTCCATAGTGATGGGAAGACAAGGAATTGTTAATAACGGGGATTAATAGCCCCATTGCTAGCAATATACCCTGTCAGTTCGACCTCCCCGTGGTTCCCCCTGGAAACCATCGTGACTGATTTATTGTTAGATTCGTCACGGTGGGCTGACTGACCTGCTTTGTCTTCACCTATCATCCCTCACTGGTGCCCCGCCAGCGTATACCGATAGCGCAGGCTACCGTTCCATTATCATCCATTAAAAAAAGTTCATAGTGATATATAATAGCAATGTACTGGCATCAGTTGTTGCACGTGCAGTGGGGCCAGCAGCGGTGTTAAGTCCAGCTTGCCGCTGATTTGCCTAGTGCCCCGCGACGACGCTCGCCTACCCACCCCGGCTGGTACCAATAAGCCCCGACCAGCATCAGCCGGCTCCTCGGCCCGGAGCGGCTTCCAACTTCTTGACGAGGATTATATAAAGAAGCACTTCAAACTGCCACAGCGGGCTCTGTACTTGGACCCGTTCAGGTGAATATATTTTTTCTGTTTTTTTTTTTTTCATGCAACTTAGAATGGCAAACAAGCTAACGGCCCACCGCATGGAAAGTGGTAACCGTCGCCTGTAGACATGAGCAGTACCATGGGCATAACAGAGTATAATGTTTCGTCCATAATACCCCCTATGCATTGCTATTCCTGAGGACTCAGGTGTTATTCCTCTGTACCCTGTAAATTCACTGCCATTTTCCACCCTTCAAACCGAAACACAGCCATACAAACACAACCGCTTCACGGTAGAAACACGAATGGGACAGAGATGCCCAAGCAAACGACTTTTGTATAAAGTGTCCCTCTGGTAATTTTTTTACCAGTTATTTCCCGCTACATTATTATATAAAGTATCTTATTTGTGCCGAATTTCATCCAAATCAGTTGACTTGAATGAAATTTCATACTCGAGTAGGTAGACTGAATGCAACCTGAACGAAATCTGATATCCATTCAACCGTCAGTTTCAACGTGATTGAGTAATAAACATATAGACATTTTATTTTATTTTATTTTACTTTAAAAGGGAAACGTACAATACCTGAGACATATATAACATAGTATACACAACCATAACATAAATCAGTTAAGTTTCCACAATAAACCAAATCAAATAATCGAGAGCAGATGATTAACATAAAAATATATATAATAGTATACACATACACATACACACACATACACATATATATGTGCGTATGCATATACATACACACACATACATACACAGGCTTTTTTACATCTTTATATTTACGTATAATGTTAGTTTTTTTTAATGGGTGATTATGAAATAGTAACCCCACCAGCGCTATCGGTATACACTGGCGGAACAACAGTGAGTGATGATAGGTGAGGATGAAAATACAGGTTAGTTAGCACTTGGAATTCAGCACGATGGTTTCCAGGGCAGACCACGTGGAGGTCGACCTGGTTGGGTATATTGCTAGCAACGGGGCCCTTAGCCTCCATTATTAACAATCCCCTCCTCTCCCCCCCCCCCCCACGTATAATGTTAGTAAGATTCATACAAAAATGTAGACATAGAATGGGTCACCCCTTCCTTTCCTGTGGGAGTCATTAGAGGGGACTAAGGGAAGGCGGGGATGGGCAGCAGCGTCCATTTTAAAACATCGCCAGAGACGTTACATTTTTTTTTATTTGCAGACGTCCATTGATCACATTTCCTATGACGCAAGAGGACGCGAAGAATTTCAACTTGGATAGAAAGTATAAGATAAATCAGCAGATCTTAGACGGGTTCCTGGATCCCAGCGAGGCTATCTCGGCGCCTAGTGTTTTTGTAAGAGCATTTTATTAAATTTACTAAAAGGAGATTTTGTATAAAACTTGTCTGCATGGGTACCTCTATAATAACCGTATTTCTACTATGAAGCAGTTGTGGTTGCATGGCTATATTTTGGTTTCAAGAGGAATGGTGATGATGATGACCGTTAAGTGTTCACTGTTGAACATAGGCTTGGCTCTTGGGGAGCTGTGCCTGTAGCTGCCACACTTGGCAAGCGGTATTTTTTTTATGAATGATAATGGAATAGTAAACCCGCCTGCGCTAACGGTATACACTGGCGGGGCACCAGTGAGGGATGATAGGTGACAATGAAAAGGCACGTCAGTTAGCCCATCGTGACGGAATTTAATAATAAATCAATCACGATAGTTACCAGGGGTAACCGCAAGGAGGTCGATCTGATAGGGTACTTATTTTTATGCGTGAAAATGGCATGGTTACCCCGCCTGCGCTATCGGTATACACTAGCGGGGTATCAGTGAGCGGTGATAGGTGAGGATGAAAAGGCAGGTCAGTTAGTCCATTGTGACGAATTCAATGATAAATTGGTCATGATAGTTTTCATGTGGAACCGCGTGGAGGTCGACCTGATAGGGTATATTAGTAGCAATGGTGACTAAACTCCTCATTACTAACAATCACTTCTCCCCCCATGGTTTGGAACACATATTACAGTTGACCAGATAAAGAATAAGGCTATTTTATCGGTCGGTTTATATATTTTTTATTGTTAAAATGGAATGGTAACCCCGCCTGTGCTAACGATATACGCTGACAGGGCACCAATGAGGGACGATAGGTGAGGATGAAAAGACAGGTCAGTTGGCCCATCGTGATGAATACACCTGGAGTTCAACACGATAGTTTCCAGGGGGGATCACGTGGAGGTCGAACTGACAGGGTATATTGCTAGCAATGGGACTGGTATTTCGCAGTACTAGCAATCCCCCCCGGGGGAAAGGGCCCCCGGCAGGCGAATTGGATTGTAAAATAAATAAATTTAATAAACCCTAGGGTACTTCAATGTATTCAACTACGAGGTATAAGTTAATATCGCTCGCCATATTGTGTTATAAAAGCATTTTCACTAATTAGGCACTAATGTAGCTAAATGAAAATACTAATACTTATAGCTAAATATAAACGGTACCATTACAAAGTAGGTGCAGTAAACGATCTTACTTTAAACGGCCATGAAATATTTACTAGCTTCAAAGCCAAGAGCTAAGCTTTAAGATAGATTATGAACAGTACCTACCCAAGATTAAAGGAATATAATTATTTGGTATTATGACAAATAATGGACATAAAAAACAGCATGCCGCTCATAAAAAAATCTTGATATATCTATGTTAATATCTTAGATTATATAAATAGGGCATCGATCCTCAAAAACGGGTCAACTTTTTGTCAGCTAATTGTCAAATTAGCCGAGTCATTTTTTTGTCAATATTGTATATACTTACGCATAAAATCTTGAGGTATTTTTTTTAATAAATACAATAAGTGTTTACGCATTAAAACGATGCAGAAATTATAAGACCAAATCATCCCTGGACCATTAAGTTCCCTTAGACGCCTCTTACGACACCTACGTGAAAGGAAGGGGTGGCCTATTCTATACCTACACGGCTAAACTCAATACATATTACTGATTACAAATTAATTAATGTATTAAAAAATATTAAATTATAAGTGATCCTCACGTGCCACTACAGTAAAAATTTCGTGTCTATTTTATATTTCTCTGTTTTATTGTAGCCATATGCTAAAACTGAGGCAGAGAAACGGAAAGAGGCCGACGAAGATGAGGAGATCATTTACATTCTGCAACTACCGGATTGGGAGTTCAAGTGTCCTGTTCACAATCAAGCAATAAGAACGCCGAGGTATTTTCGTTACTAAGTAACGCATGCCTATTGCCATCTACCGAACAAACTTGGAGAAATGATTATGTCATTATGTTCGATACTTTTACCATTAACGCCATCTATGATGACTTAATGAAATAATTCTTGTGTGCTAGCGCCATCTATATTTTATATGATGAAATAATTTCGATGCACTATTGAAGCACAAACGACATCTATGATTTATCTGACGAAATATTTCCTTATACTAACCACTAAATTATTCGATATGCCATCTGTGATCTGACTAAATAAACATTAAGTTTTCTGATTAATAATATGCTAACTTGTACAGAAAACATTTGATTTGAAACTTATTGAAAATTACAGTGAAATAGTAAAATGTAATATTTATTTTCAGGTTCATTTGGCATTCGTGTAAGAAACCGAAGAAAGATAAAGGTGACGAACTGAAAAAAGGTGGGGGACCACTAAACAAGCCTAAACCTTGGTTACTTAGTCGACATACTGATTTTGATTTGTTATCTCAGTGGTAGCCAAATTTTTCGTTTAAGAATTAAAATTACACTGTCACCTTCAAATAATACCTACACAAATAAAAAATGCATTAGTAGATTTTTTGTGTTTTTATTAATAACTGGTTTACTCTATTCACAATGGATCAAAAAGCCGTAAAAATTAATATCAATCTAATGTCTTTAGAATATGTTACATGCTTCAGATGTGTTTAGTAATATAGATATAATAATAATATTAATAAGGACAAATATGTGTCTATTAGTAGCAGTACACATGTATTGGTCTATGTGTATATATATATATATATATATATATATATATATATATATATATATATATATATATATATATATATATATATATATATATGTATTTTCATTTTTAACCATGTAACTAAGAACTAAATTAAATTAAAAATTAATTATGTAATAATTTAATTCGCTAATTAAAATAAATTCCCGTTATCCAGTTATATTTATGGATATAAATTTTATAAAAAAAAAAAAAATAAACATACTCTATGCTCGCGTAATATAATAGTTTAGCTTGCACAAGTAATCACTATGTGGTAGCTACTATCAGAAAAAGAAGCCAACCCGCCTGCCAAGCGTGGCAACTAAAGTCATCGTAATACATCCGCTTTTCTATCTGCGGCATAAGTATTGTTCTTAATCTATGATCGTGATGTATAATAATTTATCGTAGATAGAGAATAGGATAATTATTAAATTATAAACTTTAAAGATGTTGACACAGATTTTAAATAAATTATAATTTTGTAATGTCGGCAATAAAAAACCATGTATTTCAAATATAGAACATACATAGTTACTACGTAGTTACCTACTTGAGCACTATATACTCATACTACGTCTACGACAACAACAGGCCATAGATTTTTTTTTTTCATTTATTGTGACTTTGGCGAAAGCCATCAGCCAAAAAGTAACAATTACAAGGTAACAATATAATGGCCATAGATTCTATTAAGCATATGTAATGAAACTTTTTTTTACTGTATTGATGAGAAGTAAAAGATTCTTAAAATATGCCAAAATTTTTTGTACAAGTGAAAAACTAAAAAACAGGATTTTTATTTTATTAATTTTAATCATTATTTAAAATTGTAGTTATGGCCGATAAAGAGTTATTGGAGAGACTTGATAAAGTGTGAGTAAAATAAATAACTGGTTATTTCATTAGAATTATTTAATTACACTACCAATTAATAGTAGTAATAGTACACGCAATAAGACCGCCTTTTGTACTACACTATACGTATTGAAAATTGTTCAACAAATCCTGTTATGTTGGTGGAATAAAGTGTTAAATAAAATAAATAGTGGTGGTCAATCTTCGTGTGTTGGTAGTTACTCATGTAGTAATGTTAGTGGAATTAAACAAAATAATTCTAATCAAATAACCAGTGATATGCACTTCTGCAAGATATATACCTTATTCAGTAAAATATTCAAACTAGCGGCCCAGCCCGGCTTTGCACGGGTGGACATTTATTTTTAAACATTTTAAAATAATAAAAGAGTAAATATATATACGCAGGATATAAGCAGTTTTTTTTTTCAAATGGCCATCTATTTCTTGCTATTCATATATATACACGTCTGTCGCATCACACGTCTGTCTATGTCTCCCACATTTCTCTTACGATCCCTTCCTCGTCATTCTACGCTGCGTGGGGCCACATCGGTTACGGCGCGACGGCACGGTTTGCGATTATTTTTCTGTTATAACTTTTTTATTTATGAACCAATTGAAATAAAACAAACACTAAATGTTAAGTAGAGCAAACCACAACACATTAGTGAAAACCGCATTCAAATCGGTTAAGCTGTTTCTGAGATTATCATGCACTAATATACAGATAAGCAGACAAAAATTCTAAAAATAATTGATTTGGGTTCTATTGCGTTCAGGAAGACCCCCCCCCCCCCTCCTATAATAGTATTTCTTATATATCTTCTATGTACAGACAGCGATCATACTAAAGAAAGAAATTGTTTCAATCAGTTTTTTTTTTCTATCACGCTTTAGAAAAGCTTAAATGAAAATTGGAGATAAAGCATTCGTAACGCTTTAAAAATAATGAAAGGAGAAGATATAAATTTTTAGTTGATAAACTGCTAATCAACTATTCCTAGTTCATATAACATTTCTTCTAGTTCTACAAAAGCCTTATTATAACGTAAATAATCGAGTGTATGAGCCTCTGTACTCATCATATCAGCCTTTAACTTTCCACTGTTGAACATAAGCCTTCCAACTTTTAAAAGTTGGGTGGTTGGTTTTTTTTTGATGGGTGAAAATGGTATGGTAACCCCGCCTGCGCTAACGGGATACGCTGGCGGAGCACCAGTGAAGGGTGATTAATGAGAATGAAAACAGGCCAGTTAACCCATCATGATGAATTCATCAGGAATTAACCATGGTAGTTTCCAGCAACCGGGAATCGCAAGGAGGTCGACCTGGTTGGGTATATTGCTAGCAATGGGATTCTCAGTCTCCATTACTAACAATCCCTTTCCCCCCTGTGTGGTTGGTTGTTTCCTACTATTCCTATAGCATTATAACAGCCTTTAACTGTCTACTGCTGGACATAATCCCCCCCTCTTCCCTTGGGGAGCTTTGCCAATAGTTACTATGATTTGCATGCAGATTGGCAAAGGACGCTGCTGCCCATCCGTTGCTCTCCCTTAGGCGCCACTTACAACACCCATGGGAAAAAAGGGGTGGCCTATTCTATGGCATGACCTCGCCGCTCTTTCTCTTACTCCATGCGTATCAGTGATATTAGCAAACATTTTGTACTGCTGGTCTATACAGTTTAAATCGCTGAATACCTTTCGTTGATTATACCTTTTAATTAAATTATTTTATGGCCCAACTTGAATGTTTTGGAGTGAATTGAAAATGAAGTGAAATAAATTTGAATTTCGAATAGAGATCTAATCAGAGGTCATAGATTATCGTTTCAGAGATCTGGCGGGAGAATTGAGCGAATGTGTTTTTCAAGTTCTTCATCAATCAATCGATCAGGATAGCTTTGCTCCATCCACGCCGAATGCCCACCGGACAATTATCGTGACAAGGAGATTTATCAATTGAATGATAATGATCTAGCGTGTGTTGCTGATATATATATATATATATATATTCATCTCTTGGACAGAATCCACGTTCCTCCTAATGGTCAAACAATAAATCGTATTTTTTTTGTAACACTGTCTGCCGACCGACACTTACCACCGAGCGTCAGTTTTTGCTTTATATTTTGCAGTCCATGCGTTTTTGAATGTGGTCCGTGCACTTATTTTTTTATAACAGAACAATCATTACCGTCGCCGACGTAATTTGTCTCCTTTACTACAAATTTTTCATCACATCTTTCGGCTTTGTATTCTTGGACATATTTAGAATTGGTTTCATTGTTACATTGTTTACAAAGATAGTTTATTTAAACAATAAAAAAAATATACTTTAACATGACACCCCTTTAATTACCAACAACAAGTAAAAATTAACTGTTTCCATTAAAATATTTAGGTTATGGTAACAAATCGATCAATAAATGGATCTCTTTGATCCTTCGTGCTGGATAGAAAGAAGAATTAACTTAATTTTATATTTAGTTTTATTTATTACACATGATTATTATGTAGTTAATGCTTAAACCCATCTGATGGTTTGTGGTAACGTCTTCGCCTGGATGACTAATGGAATGGAAACGTTAGTTCGAAAGGCAGTCCAAGGTATTTGTAGCAGTCATTGCCAGCACCACATCTCTAGAGCATCACTCTATAAAACTAGAACTCTAGAACATCATCTCTAGAACTTGTACTCTACTCTCATTCAATATAACCATCATCCCGCCACCCATATTAAATATTTGGAATGCCTAAATAAATGCGCCACTAAATTAATGTGTATATATACATATATATAATTAAAATCACCAGTATACAAAGCGAAATACAGCGAAAGCGAACAGTATTTTCAACGCTTTTATTGTTAAACAAAAATAAAGTACAAAGTACTGTTTTCAGCATCAAAGTGGTTAATACTATAAGTGTTAGATTTAGACGCTTACACAAACGTTTTTTATTCAGTCAGAGGGCGCTTAGTGCAGAGTAATTTAATAAAAAAATTAACTCCTTATTATAATTGTAGGAAAGCATATAATTTTTTTTTAAAAAACTGTTGAAAAAATTCATTTTCCTAAAACACTGTTTAATATTCTTCTCAGACTTAAACATTATTTCTTGTAAAAATAGTTGGAAACTCCAGACGCAGACGACTTTTGTACAGAAACTCTCATAGGTGTTACTTACTGGACAACAGTATAATTTAATATATTCACGCAGACCATTACCGAGACCCGGCTTCGATGCTTTAGGCATGTCAGCTCCTGTTTTAGTACAAATGAATCCAGAAGGAAAATGGGAGAGTTGTAAACCCGAAAGTTTGGATGAAGAAAGATTAAGAGCTGTTGTACAACATTTGGTCAATTCGAAGGCAATATCTGCAGCTCAAAGTTATTGCTGTCAATGTGCCGTGGACAATCAGGTGGAAACGTTGTTTACATACCTAAATAAATTGATTATAAATGTATTTAGGAATCTAGTTCGCCCTTAATAGATGTAATACAAATCAGACACGTTTTAAATTAAAACGTAATTAACTGATATCCATGTATGTAACTAGTTTGCATGTAAACAATTGAGCAGGTTGTTTGTAAACTTTGTAGTTTAAAAAATGTTACAACAGGTTAATTAGCGTGGTGTATTATAGAAGATTATTAACACGTTTCAATACGATACTAATATTAGATATATTAGACTATTATGTTTCCTGTCGTTTACTTATCTTTCGTCGCTTTTACAGAAACAGGAAGGTAAATCAAACTATGTTCCAATCATAATGATGCCAATCTATCCAGCTAATAAATGTCCATTTGATATGGAATGTGAAATACAAAAGATAAAAGAAACAGAATCGAAACCAAGTAAGAAAACTAAGAAAATGGAAACAGTAGTAGAATCGGAGAAAAACAAAGACAAGAAGAAAATCAAGAAACGTGGATTTGTAATGCAACGACTCACAGATTTTGATTTGTTGTCACAATGGTAAAAATGTAAAAAAAAAATTAATATAAAGTGTAACGTGTGATTATTTCTTTTTTGTTTTTAATAATTAATATATATAATAAAAATAATCGGAGACAATGTTTTATTATAAATAATCTTTAATAATAAATCTTTATTAACAAACACAGGATTGCACATATTTTTTTCATATCAATCGATAATCATGACTTATCAAGTACACAATTGTCTATAGGTACATACATTAAATGTACCCAATAAAAATAACCAAAATACTAATAAAGTGACTACTTTCTCCGTATTTGTCCGTATCTTAAATTAATACTTTTATACTACGTTTATTTATGGTTTACTAACGTTTCTCCACCACAAAAAACCACCTATTTTTTTTTAATGTAATGTAACCCTTAAATACCTGAAGTCTTAAATTTGATACCGGATATATAGAGAGTACTCGTAAAATGAATTACATTAACCACGTAAAGTTTACTACAAACCTATAAGACGGAGATAGATCTGTTCTGAACTTGTTTCGTTTACTTACAAGAGGCAAAAATAAATAAGCTACTTTACATTTTATTATATCCTTTTAAGGCGTAATATGTAGCTTAACATATAATATCATGGACTGACTTCAGAATTGTCATTACTGAAAAACACTTTTAAACTGTACTACTTGACCACAGTATAAATATGACAGCACTGACAAAAACTAAATATTATTTATAGAAATAATTCAAACTTACACGTTAGGTGGGACAAAGCAATAATCGTGTAGACTAAGTTATAGTTTTAAATATAAGTACAAACAGTTTTTTTTTTTTAATTGGGACCCACAAGTTAAGACAAAAATTTAGTGACTTAATAATAGAGAATTAAGATGATGAGAGGTTCAAATAAAAGACGAATCGAAGAGATTATAATTATTGATCCAAAAAAAGTCTGATGTCGGTTTTTTCTGGAACACTGGCAAAACTATTTTTTTTAAATAGTTTACAGAACAGAGGACCTACCATGAAGTATTTTCCGAAATTTCGGGAACGAACGAAACAGAAATTTGATGTTAAAGTTACATAATATATGCTGTTTAAAATTATTAAAAATATTAAAATATCGTTCCTTTGGACCATTAGAATAGGATTTATGATGAACGAAATGTTAAGCTCCATTTACTGGGTCGATTTTGATACGAACAAAAACACGAAATTGACACGAATGAGTTGAAATTTGGTACACATATGTAAGTCGGTAACCCAAAGATGGACGTGTGACGTAAATAAATGAACTTCATACGCGAGGACCACTTTTGAGGGGTAAATCAGCAAATTAAAAAATACGCAAATTATATCGTGTGATATATCAAATGAAAGGATCTGTTGTGAGAGTCTCAAATATATATTTTTTTATAATTTTAAAATATAAAATATATAAGTTATTTAAGAAAATAAGGGAAATGGAACATTCTCCCTCCCCCCATCCTGAAAGAGTCCCCTTAAAAAAATATAGAAAAACAGGTGCCACGTATATTATAGAAATAACGATGTTTAATATAAACATGGTCACTATAAACGTTGATATACAAATTATACTTTTTTTTACGTAATAACACTGTAAATATTTATTTTTTTAAATAATGCGAAATGGCAAACATTTCGTCCGTACCATAGATGAAATACAACGTACTGAGTTAACACTACGTAGTGCATTATACTACGTCTATGGGTTTTTACGTGGCGTGATATCAATGTTTTAATTAAAAAAGAAATGTTTGTCTATTCTTTTAAAAATGATAAATAATAACAAAAATGTGTTAAAATTTTAAATTTAGCAGTACTTATCATTTTGGTTGATTAAATTTTAATCCGTCTTTGACACTCGATACTTAAGATCGCAGATACTGTTCTTATTCTATGGTCAGGATTGCCAGATGCGAACTTTGATTATTACCCGAACGTCAAATATTTTTTACTCTAAATCGATATAAATTTTTACCCAATTTTACCCAATCACAAAATAATATTGTAGGTATTGCTAGTGCTACAAAATGAACAGTAATTTCTTCTGTTTCCACTTTTCCTTCTCTTTCCGTTACGTACTTTCGGTTGCATATTTTATAATAAGTATGTACCTTATATATCTGTTATATATACTAAAACTATTACTCAAAATTTCCAAAGAAATCATATCAATTTTTCAAAGCTCATTTCACATTTCATCAAAAATTTTTTCCAGATTTTTTTTTCTCAAAAATTTTGCGTATGTAAAAAATTTCACTCAAAATTGTGAAAAAAGGATCAGTCTGGCAATATTAGCTCGATGCTCTATCTCAGCCTTTTCCAAAATGGGCGTTGCAGGCCTCAAAGGGGGCGGTAAGAGACAGAAAAAAAACGGGGGCGTTGTGTAGAGGCTTGGGGGGAGATAGATAATGCTAAGTATTTTGTATGGGGACCGGATGTCGCTTGACATCTGACATCTGAGACATATTAACTCATTAAAGTCCTTCAATGTGTGTATTAGACAAAATTATTAACATTAGTTCAGAACTTGATATTGATTTACAATGAGTACCATCGCCTGTGCAATTGTATTGACGATAAAATGTTTTTTTAATGGAATTATTATATCTATTCTTTTTTATTAATATTATCAAGTTTATATACTTTCGGAACAACTAGACTAGAAATTAAATATTAATAAATGTATCAATGCATAAATCACTAAGTCAGTACTAGAAAAATTTGAAATTTAAATATGGAATACTTGTACAATCCATTTAAAAGTAAAATCTAAAGTAAGAGTTTGAATTTATCAGTGGTTTTATGTGAGTTAGTGGTGGTTTATTGGGGAGGCCTATGTTTAACAATGGGCAGATAACGGCTGATATGATAATGATGATGGGATTCCTTGTGTTTTATAAATTTAGTTTAGAAACAAGATCTTCGTTCTTGTATTTTTTTATTCCTGTGAAAATGCTCTTAGATTTTTCATAAGAAAAACATGCATTTTGGAAATATTGATGCGCTTCTCAGACCATCTTTGCGAAAAATACCTCGAATATATAAGCGAAAAGATAAATCAATTCGATCCTGCATATATCTAGAGTTTCTATAATAATTTAGTAGTTATGCTAAGAATGTATCATTTGTTTGTAATTTTTATCGACTATTTATCGATAACAAAATTAAAGTGAACAAAAGGTTCCTATATAATACTTAGACTGTTTATCTATATAATAAGTAATAAATGTTATAATTGTCCATTAACAAGACTGTTTCTGTTAATTCTTTTTTTAATATTTCTTACACCAACTTATTATTGTTTTTTTTTTTATTAAAAACATTAATCAGTTCCATACTAATTGTCTATCTATTTATTTACCTCTAAATAATTCAATTATCAATCTTAATCACAATCACTGTTTGGTACAATAAGAATTTACAATTATTTATATGAATATACATAAGTATATAATTTTACGATCATATGATAATTCAAATATGACGATAGTGATGATACTGGATACATACAAACAATACCCTTATCTTTATGAACATCAATTTGATATTATTTAATAGTTTTAACTACGGTAAATTTTAAAGAAAGCAATAACATAACTAAATTCTTTAAACTCAAACGCATCATATATTGTCATATTAATTAGTGTAAAGAGTCGTCCTCTTTCCATTATTATATGAAGCTCGTACTAATCAACATACATTAATACGAGTTTGTTAATATATTTTAAGCAATGTTGTATTTTTATTCTTACCATAGACAACGATGGATATCGATAAATTTATTTTATCGATACTAACAAATAATACCTTCTTTAATTTATTTGTTAGTCTGCCAAAAAATAGGACAAAAGTAATTGAAAAAAATTGTACTCGTTACACACGAGTATAATTTTTATTACAGGGTTATAAGGGTTTATTGTGTATTTTATCTTTTATTTTTATCGTGTAGCAACATTAAAAAAAAAATAGTGTAATATTTTTACTATCAGGTTGGCAACACAGTAGATGGCCGACCACGGTGTTTGAAGTCAATGTTGAAGATTGATGCACATTACATATTATTTTTTTATTTCAATTCATTTTAATTATGTTACAGTAACAAACATCAATCTAAACCAATGTAATTATCAAGAACCTAGTTCAAAACACAGGTAAGATTTATACTGTTTGTCACGAGTGTAGGATACGCAATTAGTTTCTCATCCCACTTTTTATGTTTTCACACCTATCCTTTCAAAATCCCAGATAGAGCTATTTAGCTCAAAATGCGTTTCTGCGCATCCAGCTAGTCCTAGTTAAAATAGGTCATCTTCCGACTGGTTCCAGTAGTGAAGCTACGCTACAAATATGCAAAGGTCAGTTAAATTTCGCCATACAATGTTAGAAATTGTCTGCTTTTTTTTGGTGTCTACATAGAGACGAATGCTTGTGAATCCTTGCGCTCGTCACTAAAAAAATATTCTCACGCTCTCGGATCCTTTGTCGCGGTTGTTTTTTTTTTTTATTCGAAGTGAAGACGACATGTGATTAATTTCCTGTATTGATGAGAGAGATCCGTGGTGATAATGTAGTCTTGTCGCGTTCCGAAATACGCACTTTACTATTGTTTTTGTTAGTAAATGTTTTTTTTTTCTAATCTCTACATTATTTTAGCTTTTTAAACGGAAATCTCTACCATATGATTTGGTTGGCCTTGATTGTGACATTGGTTGGCCCTAGTTGTGTTGTGTAGAGAAATAATTGGGTGCTCAAAATGACCTTACAATGTAATAAGCTAATCTAATAAATGCAAAAGTGATGTGTAAACTGTCTACTACATTAAATCCACAATTTTTAGGTTATTATTTCAGGGTTTATTATTAAAAGTTACTTTTTAGTGGAAACTGACATTGAGTATGACCATTTACATATTTTTGAGGTTATAAATGTTCAATTTTTACCATTTAAATTATTCTGTGTGTGTATTTTACAGTAACCAGGAGTGTTTATAAATGATTTATAAATTGTGAGTGTCACTTTGTTATGTATTTATACAAAAGGTCTTAACTTGAAGGTAAGGTATATGTGAAAATTCTTTAATTTTGAGTGTTTAAACATCAAATGACAGCTCTTCAATATTTATTATTTTATAATAATTGTCTCTTGCTAAATTAATTAATACTGTGGCAATTTATTATTATAAAAAGGTATTTTTTTTTTTTATAATTGAAATAGATAGAATTTATGGTCTTCTATGAGTTATAATTACTTATATTTGTCTCGTTAATTGTAATTGAGAGGATTTTTACCACAAGACTGTTGATGTCTATGTTATTTATTCAGATTATATTTGAAATTAACCAATTTTTTTGATGTACACTTCCATCACCCAGCTTTATTTGGCACAATTATTTAATTGTGTTACCAATGTCGCCTATTAAAATTCAAATATATATTATTTTACATTTTTCTCACTGCTCATATAGCCAAGTAAAATGCTAATAGTCCAATGAAATCCAAATTTAGATCAATATTGATATTTTGGTATTTGTTATGAAGTAGTATTTTGAAATTTTAACAGTAAAATAATTATTAAATTTTAAGTATGCGACTTCCCACACTATGACCGGTCATCTGATACCTGAAAGCAAAAAGTAATATATATGTGTAAAATTTATATCTGTTGATACTTTTATGCCATATTATACTTTCTAATATTCACCAGATTTGCTGATTGATGGTTATAGTGCAGATAACTGCAGCACACTGCATTTAATACATATCTTTAATTTTTTTTTGTATTTAGAAATGTTTAAAAATTGATAATATTTCTAATTTATAATTTTAAAAGTCATAACATATTAAAATGTTCCTTCTAAATTGCTAACTCGCGTGTTGATTAAAATAAGTATCCTTTATAAATATTGTAATATTTATAAAGGATACTTATTTTAATATTATTATTATTATTATTATTATTTTAATTAAATATTAAAGGAGAGTAGGTTAAGGAGGATTTATCATAACTACAGCAACAATATAATTTGAATTATTAGTTCTAATGTCTTGTGTAAGGGCATATTGCCCAATCAAACATGTTATAGGTCCACAGATATGGTTCTGATTATCACTTTACTGAGCTAGTGACACAGTTTTGATATCAGTAAACGTTTTACAATACCTTGTACAGTTTAGGCATAAATTGGTGAGATCATTTGTTGTATTAACCTTGTACTAATGATTCTAAAATATAAATAAAATTATTAAAAGAAATATGATAATATTATAATTGACAGTTTAATAACAATTAAATGTAGCAAGAGTTAATTGCAAAACAAACTTTGTTGTAATAATATTAAAGCGGTAATTCTTATTGTCTATCGATTCCTCAAGAGTTAGGGTTGTGACCTGTAAAATTTGTCCCTATGAGTACAATCCAAGCTTCCTTGTTTAAAGCCGGATCTCTCATTAAGTATTAATTAAGAGCTTTAGAACTGTTTATAGTTAATAAATAGTGATAAATTTACTTTTTCAACCAACTTCAAAAGGAAGGAGTTTATTAATTAGTTTTTTTTTAATATTCATTACCGCATAACTCTGTCAGTTGTAAACCGATTTGGAAGATTATCTTTTTTATCTGAAAAGACTTACGGATTGGTCCCAAAGAAATTTTATCAAAATTAGTTTAGTAATTTTTAAATTAAAATAATTGGTTTTGTCACAATTGAAGTTGGGCTTTCTTAACACAATTTTAAATTTGACTTTTGTTAGAGTTTGTGTGACTTTTGTACTTCTGTATATCCATTTATTGACTTTATATTTGTTGGATATGGCAACTATTTTTGAAGATATTATATAATATAATTCTTATTATTGTAATCTGCATTCCTCTAAGCATATATTTGCTATCAATTGAATATTCATAAAAGAGAGTATTAACTAGGGAGAAAGTGTAGTATATACATATATATTTAAATATTTTGGTATAGTCTAGATTTGTTTTTTTTTATACCACTTTTTTGTGTCTTGTGATAAAGTTTACTTATACTCAAATTTTCCTGTAATTATTTTTAATATATATTGGTCTTGCTATTAACATTTTTAAATATTGTTAGATTTTTTCTCAGTCATTTCCTGTTATAGATTTAGTTTATTTCTAATAGACATGGGAGTGCAATATCTGATTCTGTTGTTAGTAACTTATGGATTTCATTCCAAAATAACATTATGGTTAATAATTAAAACAGGTAAATATTTATACTAATGTTATTTATTTAAATAACTTTTGTCCAAATGCTACCAGCATTCTCCGTCCTGTTGAACTTGCTATAAATTTACTTTTCACTGTTTTCAGAAATGTGAAGTTTGACTAGGTTTTTTTTAATGTTGCTCTATATCTTCGATAGTTGTGATTTTATAGAATCTTTTTTATTCAAAACTGCTTTGCCAGCTGGTTTTATACTAATTCTCTTCTGGTCGATTTTAGGAAATTAAAAACTATTTTATATGCAGTGACTATCAAGAATTCAGAGAAAAAAGTCTCGATCATACATGATTAGAGAATTGTTATAACAAGCAATCATTCAGCTCTTTGTTATAACAAACATACCCAACAGCCAGTGTGGTGTTACAGCACTTGTTTACTCTCACATGCTATTCTCGGTTATTTGGAGAATAATTTGTCTGTTTACAGTGTCAGAAATATTTTAATTCAAAACATTTTATTTTATGAGTAATGGAAGTCCAATATTATAATTATAGAAATCATTATACATACAAACTTACAAAAAGAACCTGTCTTGGTTTTGATCTCTTTAGTCACATCTACTCATAATATCAGAAAGTCTCTCTTAAGACTTAAGGGTTCTATACCGTTTGTAAGCCTGAGATCATCGACAATTATCATAGCTCGTTGCACTGAGTCGAAGGGTGCAAGCTGCTATCTAGGTGCTCCCGCCCACAAGTGACAGCAATACTCCATGTGTGTCCAGATTTGCTATTTGTAGAGCATTAATCGTTGTTTCGGCGTGAAGTAATGCTTCGCTCTATTAAGCACATCGAGTTTTTTGGATGCCAGCTTTACCCTACCTTCGAGGTGGCTACAGAACTACGTCACTACAGATGTCGACACCAAGAATCCTAATGCTTTTAGAAATGTTAAGAAACGTGCCCTGGAATTATGGAGTCACAAGAAAATGTTGTTTTTTTTTTTGTAGCGGCGTATGTGCAAGCTTGTGTCTTAGTGGGATTTAACTGGACTAAGTTTTGTCGTCTCCAATCAGAGATTCCAGGTAACGTTTTTTCGATTTCAGACTTAAGTTGTCCTCCACGATGGAATGAGGGACATTGGTACGCCCCGTATAATGGGCATCTCCATTGCTGTCATCCGCATAACAATGAATGTCACCTAAAGATTACATATTGTTAATATGCAGCAGAAACAGCGTTGGGGATAGCAGAGCCCTACGGGACGCCAGCGTTAATATCCATCCAGTCTGTCAATATTTTTAATCGTCGAATTCAGCAACGAAGTTTTCAATTTGATTGTAAATTGTTTTCTTTATGTTTGTTACCTCATAACTCCGTCAGTTGTAAGTCGATTGGGAAATTACTTTTTTTTTTTATCTGAAAGGATATTGAATTGGTCCTATAGAAATTTTATCTAGACCCCTCGTTTAGTTTTTAATACCAAATAACTGGTTTTGGTACAATTTATTTGAGTCTTTTTATTCGAGGAACACAATCGTAAGTTATTTAAGATATAGCTAGTTATCTTATCTAGCTTCTGTCTCACTCACTTTTTTGTATGGAGATTTTTTTTCTTAACTCAAATTGTCCATATTTCAAATATTTTCTTTCATACAAACCTGAAGAACCTGAACCTGGTCTGAAGTAATGTTGTAAACAGACCACTTCAGAATGACTGCAAATATTATATTCGACAATTGACTTATATATAATAAATACTATTGTGAGAGTAATATATGCACTTGGTTTACTAAACATGATTATGTGTTATTTGATGTTTATAATATGTGAAGGTCGCCTGGCAGGATATATTGCTAGTAATGGGGGCGATAGTCTCCATTTCTAACAATCCCTTCTCCCCGACTGTACGTTACGTTGCCGCCTCGTTCATCATGCACACGGTACGTGATTACGTATCTATTGATAGAAATTCATTTGCCACTTCAATAGGGAGCTGGGTTGACCATGTAATGTATAATGTGGTTGTAGACAAAGTATAATTTAGACGCTGGACGACACTAGAGGGACCTATTATTATATTTAAATTATACATAAGTATCAAATTACTATGGGTGATTCTCTGTAAACTCGTAATCGGCTGTCCCGACTGTTTTTTTCAAAAAGTAATATAATTACTTTCATAAAAATCATTTTTAATGAAACTTTAACCCCAAAAATTTACGGGCCCATTGTTTTTAGAACCATAACTATTTTAATTTTTTTTTCTAGAAGTGATTGAAGCTCTAAAAGTACAGTCCCCTAGCTGTCCTCATCACTGTATTCCCGCCTAGAAGCGAAATTTATGAAGAAGTTATTGAAACTACATACATTTGGCAGTTAATATAATAAGAAAAAATATAAAATTAATATTAATTTCGCAAAACAAGGTCTCATTACGAATTCTATTATATTAGTAAACACTTGTAAACTACTTTGTCCCTAGAATTTTCATACAGTCCCCTGCCAAAAATATAAATCCATATTAAAAAAAAAACTGTAATATTTACAAAAGTTTTTTAGAGAGAAACGAAACGTAATTATTGTTAAATTGGCAACCTTGCCGAAAGTGGCAACGAGACACCATTTTGTTTAGCGTCAGAACTTCATTTGTAAGGTGAATACGCGTTTGGTCCGCTACCACACACAGTCCTCTGGTAAGTAATATTATTTATATGTTAATCACTTTAATAATCGCTATATAGTTTATTGTTTTATTATTTATGTCTAAGTTGATAGGCAGGTTCTTAAAAAACTATTTTACATCAGTTTTGTAAATATTGTGAAATCTAACCTAAATACACAGTCCCCTGGCAACAGTCCCCAGCCTAAAAATGCAGCAGGGGACTGTTTTAAACAACAGGGGACTGTGTATTTTGCATATTGGTTATTGTTTTTATATATTGTTGGTGTAAATTTATCCGCTAAGTATCTTATCGTTGCTTTGCATTATTTTCCTTTATAAACTTATTTTATACAGGTCGATCAAACATACATGATATTGTTCCTAAAAAGAAAAAAAAAATCCCGAGAGGAACTACTATAAAAAAAAGAGAGAAGCAGAGCGACTACGATACAAAAGAAGAAAAAATATTCTGAAAAGAGATAACAAATAAGAGAAAAGGAGAAGTTGAAGTACCAAAAGAAGAAAGAAAAAGGTTTGTGAAAATTAGTAATGGTCATCTCGTGAGTACAGAGCTGCCCTTAAGAAGTGGAATGAATATTGTATTGTATACCGAGTCAAAAAACTAAGACTGATGAAAAGCGTCACTAATAATTTTGTACGAAAAAATACACCGTTATCAAATCCAGAAGTAGATGCTTTGTCTACAAGACCCGCCACTCTAGTTCCAGTTCAAATATCTCCAGCTCCAAGCCCAGCAGTTTCCAGTACTAGTCTACAGCAAAGAAGAAAAGAAGTCTTAGAACAACAAAAGAAGTTTAACAGAGAAATAAATAAATAAATCACACGTTTAGAAAAAAAAACTTGTGAAGTACAACTTACAACTTTATAACTAGAAATACTGTGAAGAAGCAGAAGAGATATCTTCTTGACACAGTTTTTAATCTTTATAAAAAGTTTATTACTGGGCACATAAAAATTAGCTACCAAAAATTTTGCCGACTCCGTCCATTTTGGGTTGTGAAGCCAAACGCTCCAAATCACGATACATGTCTTTACATAGTTCATAGTAACATAGACATGAAGCTCAGCGCACTTCATACTAATAACATATTGACTTACAACAATCACCAAAAGTTGCTGAAAGATCTATGTTGCGACCGATATAATATTAATTGTTTGGCGAGATCATGTCATACTCGCATTGATAAAAACCGGAAATATAAACAAATTGATGACAGAAAGGATATAAAATGTGGATTTCTGAAATTCAAGATTTTAAGACTAAATGGAACCGACTGGTGACTAAATATTTAAAAAAAACATTTGGATATCCAAGACAGCTCATAACACATTTACAGACAGATTTACACAAATTTTTGATCACCAGCGAAATATTGTTCACCAATATAAAACAATGAATAATTTAAAGTCAAATCTACAAGATGATGAAGTTCTGATCCACGTAGATTTTAGCGAGAATTATAGCACTAAATACGCAAAAGAGAGACAGAACTTTCATTTCGATGGATCTCGAGCACAATTGAGCCTGCATACCTTAGTGGTTTACCTACGAAATTCCATTCTTTCTTTTTGCACAGTCTCCGAGAACATAGCCCATTCATCTGCTGCTCTTTGGACACATCTACGACCAATTTTCAATACTCTTCCATGTGGCATCGAACGAGGGCATTTTTTGAACGATGGCCCTGTAACAGTCCCCTGATACCTCATACAGTCCCCTGTCATGATTTTTTGAAAAATCGTTAATAACTCGGAAAATACGTATAAATTCAGTGGGCCTCCTTATCTAACTAAAATAATAGTTAATTTTCTTCGAAATACGACACGGTTTTCAAATGGCAAAAATAATTGTCAGGACAGCATTTGTATGGGACCTGTACGAGCGTACAGAGAAATACCCCTATATATATTTTTTTAAATAATACGTCAGTTTAATGAACTGTTTTTTTTTTTTTTTTTACAGAAATACTGCTAATGCAACAATAAACTCAACACAAAAAGTGGTATGTATTAACAAATATATTAACTTTTTTATTAATAAACATCAGCAGACAATAATTATTTGAAATTTGTCAAATTTACTGATGATATGTCTTTAATATAGCAGCATTAGTTTTGTAGATTAATGGGCTTTATTGTAATATCTTTAAATACTTTATTAATTAATACACTTTATTTTTATACTTCATTCAAAGGATTGACATCATGTAGAACCAAAAGTTAAAAACCTTGGGTAATGTGGATAAAAATACATTACGCTGACCTCAAAATTTATATAATTGAAATAAGGGCACGAAGATGATGATAGTAATTTTGCATATGTTTTTCAGTTCACACCACACATTAGAATGGATCCATCATGCTCACAATCTGGGTGTGACATATATGAGGGGACAGATGAAGTCCCCTACGAAAGCAATGCAGAGAATAAGACTGATAGTGAATCAAATATGGTAGATAATAAATCAAACACTCAAAATACAAGCCAACAAATCGAAGAGCTAGAACGGCAAGACTTCGAGGAGGAGAATCGGATAATTAAGCATTGTTCGGGTATGCTTGTCGATGGGAAAATCACTGCCACATCACACTACTCCGGTAATCTGTCAAGTGCCAGCTCAAGTCTTGCATCCAGCCTCGCTTCTAGCTCGGAAACAATTTCGCATTTAACAAATGATTACAGCTTACCGGGTTGTAGTAAGTCCCTGTGCAGTGATAGCAACACAACTATAAAGAACATGATACGCTCCCGTAAAAACTTCAACGGCGAGGAAACCAAAAAATATGAAACGTACAAACCTGATTTTATGCAAAAACTCCTTAGTAGTAATACTCAAGAGAAGAAAGATTTCCCAAAAGGCAAGATGTATAAAGCTGATACATTGACCTGTGAAGAAACTGAAGGATGCGATGTTGATGGTAGAGGGGGACCGTCGGGGCGAACTAGTTCAAACGCTTCGAGTATTGGCAGTTCCGGTTCGGATAATTCGAAGGATTTCAGTGTGCCGTCTACGTCTAACGCTGAGAAGCTGCTTGGTTTGGATGACAGCAGAAGAAATGAGCCGAGCAATTCTCAGTCCACGGTGAGTTTTGTTCGATTTCTTTCGCTTGCAACTTTATAGATTAATTTATTACTAGCTGTCTAATTGTGTCATTCGGCAAGCCAAATTACATACAAATCAGACTAGATTTGTATCCATTTATGTATGTGTGAGTATATGCATAGGTGTAAGTATATATTTATGTGTATGTGTATTTATACGATTAAATATAATGTAATTAAGTTTCTTTGTTTGAAAATTTTCTCTATATTGTACACCGCTTTACTCGCTGACATTGATGCTCCTTTCCATTTTGGGTTTGCTGGAAGAGAACTCTTTTAGAGTTAAGCTCGCCTTTGTACATTTGATTACCTCTTTCATATTTTTATAAATAATTGGTGTGTACAGTAATATATTAAATAAATAAATAAATTATGATTGATTAACGAGATACGAATTGCTGTTTAGTCCCGACATAGAATGGGTTACTCTTTACTTACCCGTGAGTGTCACTAAGGGATATTAATGGTCGAGTGATGAGTAAAACATCACCAAAGCCTAACTGCGGTTGCCAACCGGCCTGCCAAGCGTGGCAAATACTGGCAAAACCTCGCAATAGGGAGAGGCCTCTCTTTAGCAGTGGTCAGTTAATGGCTAATGCGATAATAATGAATAACAAATATCCTAAAATCTTTACAGTTTTTACCATTCGATATTAGGAACAATTTTTTATGATATTAGTGAAATTGGCTGTATCCTGTAACTTTGACATGAATTGGAATAAAAGTATCCTATGTATATTAACACATTTTCCTTCTTATAAGAGCGTCAAACTTACATTAAACCTCTTTTACAAGTAGCTATTGTGGCTTTTTGTCATTTGAGCTAAACTCTTACCCCTTTATTAATAAAAACGTCAAGCCTCTAATATAAGCAAGCTAATAACATAAACTACTGTTTTGTCTCTTTCTTGAGAACTAAATTCTCAATTTGAATTAAAGTGACAAAATAGTGTAAAAATTAACGGAGCTTTACAAGAGGTTCTTGTTTCTATGAATTAAGGCGGTAATTTATCCAGAGGGAGACTTTGTACAAAAGTCGTTTGCTTGAGCACCCCTGTTCCATTCGTGTTTCTACCGTGAAGCATGTTGTGTTTGCCTGGCTGTGTTTCTGGTTTGAAGAATAAGATATGACAGTGAACTTCCAGGGTACAGAGGAATAACACCTTAGTCCTTAGGAATGGCAACGCATGGGGGAGGGGGTATCATGGGCGAAACAGTGTACTCTGTTGTGTCCATAATATTGCTCATGTCTATAGGCGACAGTTACCACTTTCCATTAGGTGGACTGTCAACTTATTTGTCGTTATAAGTTGCATAAAAATTAAAAGAAAGTAATAAAAAATATCTACTATTAAAATAATTTTGTTAAATGTTTAAATTTGTATGTGTGATTTTGATTTACCTGGTCTACATTCATTCGAACTGTTTCAGTCCTTTAAACGTTATTGAGTAACAAACGTCTTTACAAATTTTCCTAATTAGTTTTTATGGTATTTAGAATGATAAACAAGCTGATAACCCACTTGTTACAAAGTGGTAATCGTTGCCTATAGACATATACAACAAAGTTCTTATTGTTGTTTCTCGTGATATGGCTGCGGTCACGCTCGCTTTAGTGGCAATTTAGTGTTCAATTATCAGACAATCGTAGGACTCATACGTGGGACCGCACCGCTTGTCGCCTTGAATCCACTCAAACCTCATTGGAATTGAATTAAGTGTTACCATCTAAAATAATACTACATTTTTATAATAGATTTTATATTAATTGAATCATATATCATAAATAATAATAAATAGATTTATTTTCTTTTCACAATTCATCACAGTGAAATACAATGAGACGTGCTTATATTAAAGTAATCAAATTATAAATATAATTGTGAAAGATTGGTAATGGAATGGTAACCCCGCCTGCGCTAATGGTATACGCTGTCGGGACACCAGTGAGGGATGATAGGTGAGAATGAAGAGGCAGGTCAGTTAGCCCATCCTGATAAATACACCAGGAATTCAGCACGATAGTTTCCAAGGGGCACCACGAGGAGGACGACCTGATAGGGTATATTGCTAGCAATGGGACTGGTAGTCCGCGTTACTAACAATATCTTTCCCCCCTAGTGAGTTTGTTTGTAATCTTATAGCGCCATAACGTTATATGTTAGTCCACATTTATCTCAGGATCCTTTCAAGCGATTTTATTCAATTTTTTTTTAATTATTATTTGCTTCAACTTGAGACATAGGATGATTTTTATTCTAGCAATAAAATTGGACCGACAGAAGACAAAATGTTTGCCGGGTGATTTAGTATATTATATTAATAAAAATAAAATAGTAATCGTTAGCTAAGCTTTGTAATGATTGATTAATAAATTCAATCAACGCCTGCCTGCGACTTGGAGGCCCCGGGTTCGATCCCCGGCCAGGTCATGATGGAAAACGATCTTTTCCTGATTGGCCTGGGTCTTGGATGTTTATCTATATATGTATCTATTATAAATATAGTATCGTTGAGTTAGTATCCCATAACACAAGTCTCGAACTTACTTTGGGGCTAGCTCAATCTGTGTGATTTGTCCGTATATATTTATTATTTATTTAATCAATCAATCAATAAATCAACCAATCAATCAATCAATCATTTTATTTGCTGAATATAAGTGTTACTAAGATAATGCATAAGTGAAAAATGTAAGCTTCTTTATATTCTGTCCTATATCGATGTGCATTATGCATTGAATTATATCAAATATGTACATATTTGTTCATACAGGTTATGGATAATCTGTGTGTCAAATTTCATACAAATCCGTTCAGCTGTTCGGGCGTGATTAATAGACAAACATTGTAATAGATTTTTTTATGGATGACTAAGCAACCCGTCCCGTGTTAGCACAAGTTTTTTTTTATATATTTTTTTTGGAAAACTCCGAGGGAATGTAGCTTTGGGTAAAATTGGTTGAGTACTTTCACAGTTAAATTGTATCAAACAAAAAAAAAAAACTCAATCATCTTTTCTCGTTATCATCATTTCAGTCGTTATCAGTCCACTGCTGGGCATAAGCCTCCCCCATAGACTGCCATAGAAAACGGTCCTGCGCTACCTACATCCACTGACTCCTTGCAATGCATTTTAGGTCGTCTCTCCATCTAGTGCATCCTTTTCCAAAGTGGGCGATAACGCCCCCTTGTGGGCGCTTAGGCCTAAAGGGCGGTAAGAGACCCAGAAAAAAAATGGGGGGTTGTGTAGAGGCTTGGGGGGTGATTTGTTGATCTTGAAGTAATAGTGGTTTTTAAGTAGGTGAAAAAATGGGGGCGCTAAATAATAATTTATTCTCAAAGTTGGCAATAGACAAAATAAGTTTGGGAACCCCTGATCTAGTGGGAGGATTTCCTCGTTATACATAATATTAATTTAGTTCATTTTTCGATTTGCAATTGTTTATGAGGTAAACAAAACAGACAACATTTAGATTACTTTTCAGGTATATTAATTTAAATAAAAAATAATATTTTTTTTTGTATACAACATTAATAACTTGATCACGCGTATAAACGAACAAACTTTGTTTCGAAGTAATTCTTATTAGGGCAACATATAATTGCTCGTACGAAACTGTATGCTTAAGTCTACTCTCACAACCTTTAATGTATGACTTGACTCTGTATTGTCATTCCAAACTCTATTTTTTATTCACTCTATCCACTAGTGAAAACAGCATGAAAATCGGTGTAGTAGTTTTTGTGTTTATCGCGAAAGAAGACCGACAGACAGACGTGACGGAGGACTTTGTTTTATAATACGATAATGTAACGCCGCCTGCGCTAAGGGTATACGGTGGCGGAGCACCAGTGTGGTATGATAGATAATGGAAAGGCAGGTCAATTAGTCCATCGTGATGAATAAACGTGGAATTCAGCACCATGGTTTTTACTGGGGTGGGGGGGGGGGGCACATAGAGGTCATCCTGACGGGGCAATCTTACCAATGGGACTGATAATCCACATTAGTAATAATTCCTTCCCCCCATCCTTTTACGTTACACAATAGCTTACATTTTGGTGCATTATACACGGTAAGGGATTGTTAGTAATGAGATTCAACAACTCCATTGTTATCAATATTTAATATCGGCTCGACCTCCATGCAGTCTCCCTTTGAAACCGTGATAATTCCTGATAAAATCGTCATAATGAACAAACTGTCCCTGACACTAGCTGACCTGTATTCATTCTCATCCTATTGCCCTTCCCTGATGCCGTGCTGGCATATACCGATAACACAGATGTAGTTACTGTTGCATTATCATCGATCAAAAAAAAAAGCAGATCACAAATTAAAATATTCATTCTTCGAAATACACCTAACAAGAGAACCGCCCTTTGCCACCTTCCGTAAAAAAATACATCTAAATGACAAAGCAGTCCTTATCTAAACGCGTTGCGTGGTTTAGAAATAAACGGTGGAGCGTTTAACATAAAAACTTTTAGAGATATTGGTTAGAGATAATAGACACCCATTTGTATTCGCAGCGATAGATAATTTTTAAGGGCATTCAAATAGGATCTCATTGTATTTGATAACCTAATAATCCCGTAGACGCTTATCCCGACACTGTATGTATGGTCGTCTGTATGCTGCTTCCATATAAAATTATGTAACTCTATCGATGCAACAAGGTCATACCTCTACATGCGAGCTGCACCACCTACCGTCCTGCCTGGCAACGGAACTCTTGTATTATTGTACCGAGAATAGCTGGGTGTTTAAATTGTACTCGTAAAGTATGTATGTATGTATGCATGCATACGTACATGCATTCTGCAGAGTATGCGGAACACGAGTGCGCGTGCGCAGCTAACCCTGAAGATACATTGTTCAAATACTTGTAATGTCTACTTTTAATATTATAAATGCGAAACTTTGCAATGATTGATAGACGGTTGTTTGTGACTCTTTTATGCTAAAACTACTGATTGGATTTAAATGAAATTTGGTACACGGGTAGGTTTTTTTTAATGGATGACACCAGTGAGGAATGATAGGTGAGATTGAAAGAGCAACACCTGGAATACAGCACGATTGTTTCCAGGGAGGGCCTCGTATAGGTCGCACTGACAGGGTATATTGCTAGCAATGGGACAAGTAGTCCGCTTTGCTAACAATCCCTCCCCCCCACACCGGTAGGTTACATCTTTACTTAGCATATAGGACACTTTATGTACCTATTCACGCGGTCGGTGCCACGGGATACGGCTATCTCTATATAAATGTATGCCTTGTTATAATCATTAAGATGCTCATTGTTTTCACACATCATACAAAGAAGACATACATAATATTGATAATTAAAATTTTATAAATAACTTTTTATTGGACAACAAGCTTTTAGTTGCAACTTTGTATGTGTGCATTTTAGTAGTAGGTACTCAATTTTAAATTTTTCAAAGACCATTACGATTAAAATCGGATTAAATTTGGTATAGTAGTTTTTGCGTGATATCTGAACAGACACACGGACATACATATATTCTAAATTTATTGTTTTGACTTCATATACATTTTATTCTATTTCTCTTAATAAGACCAATCATATACATTTTACTTAATTTTTTTATGCTTTTTAAACTGACAAGCTGAAGGCTTACCTAATGAAAAATAGTAACTTTCCTTTAGAAATGAATAATACCATGGTCATACTAGAGTATACTGTATTGCCCATGATACCCTTCATGCGTTGCCACTCCTGAGGAGTAAAGTGTTATGCCTCTGTATCCTGTAATTACATTGCTATATCCCACCCTTCAAACCGAAACAATTATATGGTACAAACACAACTGCTTCACGGCAAAAACACGAATGGGACAGAAGTATCCAAGCAACGACTTTATATAAATGCTCACTCTGGTATATATATCTCTCTATATCTCTTATATATAGATATCATCTAATTATAAAATGTATTGCGGATTATAAAATTCATGTAGTATTTAGTAATTACTATCAAGGGCCGTAGCTATAAGCCACGTCAGAGGTAGGCCTTCGTGTTCTCTAAAGGCGACTTAGAAACACCTTGATACCAGATTGTGCAGTCCTCACATTATATATTAGTATTAATCGATTATGCACTCTATATATATATATATATATATATATATATATATATATATATATGTTCAGTGGATAATTGAATCCACCAGAGGGAGATTGTACAAAACGCGTCTGCTTGGGTACATTTGTCCTATTCGTGTTTCAGTTTGAAGGGTGGGATATTACAGTGTAATTAATGGGTACAGAGGCATAATGGGTGACACGGTGTACTCTGTTACCTCTATGATACTGTTTATTTTTATAGGTGCCAATTGCCACTTTTCATCAGATGGGCCGTCAGCTTGTTTGCCAGTTTAAGTTGCATAAAGAATTCTAATATAACGTCGAAGAAAAATGAGTTTAGCTATGTAGTCTTACTAACTGTTATCCGCATCTTTGTACGCGTGTTGTCATTTCTTTTTTAAGTTGAAATTTTCCAAAATCTTTTAAATTAAAATAAACTTATGTTTCAAATATCAGCTATCTAGACTTATCATTATAAGTTTAGATTAATAAATGTGAGTCTAAAGATATTTGGATGTCTGTATATTTGTAATATTGGATGTGTGTGTGTGTGTAACGGCCGAAAAAAATTTTATGACATTCTGGTACACTCGCACATAAATTAGCATATAGGATACTTTTTTTATTAGATACTCTTAGGTCTCTATGTTTGTTATAGCCGTGTAGTCCCTGTATAGAATGAGCCACCCCTTTTCCGCGGGTGTCGTAAGAAGCGACTAAAACAACTCCAATGGTCGAGGGGTGGGCAGCAGCGTTCGTCTTAAAACATTACCAAAGCATAACTGCGGTTGGCAACCCGCTCGCCAAGCGTGGCAAATACTGGCGAAACTTCACTTCTTGAGAAGGCTTATGCCCAGCAGTGGACTATTAAAGGCTGATATAATAATAAAAAAGAATATAAATTATTATATATATTATATATATACTAAAAATAAATTTGCACGATTCCAAGTAATTTAGTTTACCAGAACATATGCATACATGCGAACGAAATATATGCAGAGAAAATCGTTTCCTTTTTATATTGCACACTGAGTGCATTTTACTTTGTACGTTACGTGATACATAGCGGGCGCACATTTTAGCTGAATCGTATTCCAGTAACTCTACAAAGTAATAATCGTAACATACAAGTGAACTTTTAATATTATTGTAACAATCATTTGACTAGATCGTTTACGAGTTGCAAGTTATAATGTCGGCACTTGATTTAACCGATTGGATTTATTCTATTCAACTGTGCGTGCAGGAACTCAATTCTGTGAGTTTTAATTTGTTAATTTTATATATTTTTCATAGACATTTTGTTATAAGGGGTGTAATATTATAACTAATTTTCTAATATCCATCAACCACTGACTGTCCACTATTGAACATAAGGTTTGCGTCTATTGTGCGGTTATGTGATAGTTACCACGCTAGGCGTGTTGGCAACCGCAGTTAGGGTTTGATGTTTTAAGAGCGACGCTCCTGCCTATTTGTCGACCATTAGTTTCTCTTAGTCACCTCTTACGACACCCACGGGAAGTGATATTATAGACGTGTCTAATATGTAGGAAGTAAATACATTTGTTGCACGGACGGTTTGTTTGTGCAGTTGCAAATTGTTTATACAATTATATTTCTGTCACTATAATTAAATTTATAAATATTTATGTCTGTGCCAATACGATGAAGTTCCAAGTATTTCTAAGTGTTTATATTGTAAGTAGCTGATATGGTAAACACCAACTTGTCTCCTACTACTTCCGGTGCTATTTTTAAACGACTTCGTAAGGAAGCAGGTTCTCAATTAACTTGATTTTTTTTTATGCTTGTTACCTCATAATTCCGTCAGTTGTAAATCTTTAATTATTTCTTATTGGAATAAAATTTGTCCTATTTCTTAAGTTGGTGCATGCAGTACATATATATAAAATGACATTAAAATCTGTTAAGTTGCTTTAGAGTTTAATTTGAAAGTACATCGTGACACGGGATTCTTATATATTCTTATATACGGCATGGTAAATTTATTGTTTCGAAGGAGTTGGTTCTAGTTCCGCCCGCTTTAAATTATTTTCAATCACACAATGGTTTTGGAATATGATCACTTTGTATTTTTTATTTTTACTTTATTCTGTTTATCCGTAAGTGTGAGATAACTGTCACTCAAGGACTATTGTGAGATGAAGTCGCAGGCAAAAACTAGTGCTTACAAAACTTTTTTTTTTTACTAATTTAATGATGCGACTAAGGGGCGTTGTGTATATGGGAGATATTTAAGGAAAATTCATGGGAGTGGTCTTAATAGGATTAACGGAGGCGTATACAATATTTTTTTTTGGAAATTTTGTCTGTTTGTGTGTTTATTCCAGCGTCACGTAAAAACTACTGCGCTATATTGGATGTAGATTTCACTGATGTAATCCTAAAGGTTTAACCTAAAATCTAATTTATATTTTATCTTGATACTTCATCTAGATGTAATCTAGTTCATTGGTTTATCTATTTCTGAAGCCACGCGTACGGAGTAGATGGCAAAAAGCTAGTTTAAATTGACAAGCAACCTGGAATTTCGTAAGCATTTACATAAGTGGCATAATTAATGTAATCTCAGTTTCTAATCGGTCTAGTTTCGATATCAATTTATATCAGTTTTGTTGACCAAAATAATCGAGTGATGACACCGAGTCAGCCCTACATACCAATACAATGTACACTTGTCCAATGTACTCTGTCCCATTCGTTTCCACCGTACAGCAGTTGTGTTTGCATGACTGTGTTTCGGTTTGAACGGTGGGATATGGCGTGAATTTACAGGGTACAGAGGAATAACATCTGAGTCCTCAGGAATGGCAACGCATGAGAGGTATCATGGGCGTAACAGTATACTCTGTTATGTCCATGGTACTGCTCATGTCTATAGGCGACGGTTACCACTTTCCATCAGGTGGGCCATCAGCTTGTTTGCCATTCTGAGCTCTATAAAAAAAAAAATGGAATTTTGTGTAATCATAAATTATACCAACATAGCTTTAAAACATAAAATCGTTACGGTTAGGACCACCTTTTCATAAAAGAGGTTACTGTTACCACACAGTCGAGGCAAATTGCTAATTGGTGTTAAATTAATATTATAAATATGAAAGTTTGCACGTCAAGATGTTTGTACGTTTGTTATTCAATCAATAGATTAATTTTGACTATAATTTCAGAATTACATGAGTCCGTACTGTGACGGCGACGAGGATTCCGACGACGACGTCAACGAAGAAGCGTGGTGTACGTGCTTATCGTCGCACGAGGTAAGCAATACTTGCATACAGCACCGATAACTCTATTTACAAATCGGCTGAACGTTATATTTCTTGTAACCCTCACTTAGGGAGCTCCTGTCCTCACATGTACGCCATTATGTACCCAGCACGTTCTAGAAAATTCTACAATATTGAATATAGAGAGTGGAACGCTATGGTCAGCATACATTGATGCAATTTGTGATTTAGTTTTTGTGTTTTTTTTTTTTTAAGTAAATAAATAGTGATTGCGGTTTTTTTTTATAGGATGACGATGATGAGGATGAACAGGACCCAGAACCCGAAAGATTTTGGGTGAGTAGTTTTTTTTATTTCTTATATATAACTGGTTCAGGTCAGGTTTCGTTCGGATTACGTTAAACTGTGATCAGGGATCGTATGATCCGATCACCGCCTAAATAGACCTCCGAATACTTCAATTTAGTTAATGGATCGTTTTCGTCGTACGGGAAATCACGTTAGACTTTCGCATAACGTAAAACTTGCATGAAAAATCATCGTCATCATACTAGCTGTTAATTAGTAGTAGTAAAAGTATTCACTGTTGAATATAGCCCTCTTCCGTAAGAGGGGGGGGGGGGGGTGTTATAAGCACCCATTTGTCGAAATTCAGATGTATTTTTCACACAACACATTTAGGTTTTTAATTCGGTTGTATATATTTTTTGTTTATTATGACTCCGTTAGTTGTTTATTTTATCAAGGGGAGACTGTACAAAAGTCGATTGCTTGGGTACCTCTGTCCCATTCTTGTTTCTACAGTGAAGCAGTTGTGTTTGCATGGCTTTGTTTCGGTTTGAAGCGTGGGATATGGCGTGAATTTACTGGGCACGGAGGAATAACACCTGAGTCCTCAGGAATGGCAACGCATGTGGGGTATCATGGGCGAAACAGTATACTCAGTTGTGTCCATGGTATAGCTCATGTGTATAGGCGACGGTTACCACTTTCCATCAGGTGGGCCGTTAGCTTGTTTACCATTCTAAGTTGTATATGTATATAAAAAAAAATTGTAAATCGATTTGGAATTTATTTCATATGCAGGGATATATTTACAGTTTAGTCCCATAGAAATTTTATCAAAATCCGTCTAGTAGTTTAGTTTTGAAATAAAAATTCGGTTTTTCCTGTGGTGAACACAATTTTAAATTCTTAATACTTGGATTGACAAACGAGCTGATGGTACACCTTATAGAAAGTGATATAGAATAAAATAGTCTTTATTTAAGTGGACTTGTTTACAAGCGCTTTTAAATCGTTAATACTTTATAAATACTATTGCCGAGTTCGGTATGTTGTTATCTGAAGGAAAAAGAACCCGCAAGGAAATGAACAGTTACTCTTTTCAAACTATTATGTACAATTTAATTTTACATTTGCATATGTGCTGTGATTGTTATTAGAATTAAGTTTTGTTTATATATATCTGTGTGTGTGTGTGTGTGTGTGTGTGTGTGTGTGTGTGTGTGCGTATGCGTATGTATATATGACAGTTTATGGGGGAGGCGTGTGTTAAGCAGTGGATAGATAACAGTTGAGATGTTGGTGATGGTTTGTATGTATGTATATCAGAGGCCTATAAACATAAATAACACCATGGACATTACAAATACACTGTGACATCCTTCATACGTTACTATTTCTAGGGACTTATGTTACGGGTTCGTATCCTTTAATTTTACTGCTGTATCCCACTCCTGAATTTGGATCACAGCCATACAAGCTCTCCTGTTTCAAGGTGGAATCACGAGTGGGACAGAGGTACCGCATTTTTTGTCTCCTACTACATGGTATTTTAACGGCAGCGTTGTAAATTTATTGCATAGTTAGAATATATAGCCGCAGCAGCGCCCGCGGACGCCCGCATCTTGTCTCTCGATTCCCATAAAACCGCAACATTTATTGCAGCGTCTTGGGCATTGAAGCAATTTTTATTCTCGTCCTTGAAAAGTACTTATTGTAAATTCGCACAAACGTAAAGCCATTTGTTTTCTCATTAAATGTTTCATAAAACCCTTTTTAAGCGACTTCAAAAAGAGGTCTGTTTTTTTTTTTGTATTACACAATCCTACGGCAATAGTACTATACGTAATAGAAGGCTATAGTCGACAAATGGCTCCGTCTACCCCATTAAATATTATAACCGTATTTATTTTTATTTTTTATGAAGCGATCGTATAATTTTACATAACGTCAACACGTTAATATACGGGCGTAAGAAAAATACAATGGTTTATAGCGCATCGTTAACTGTCATACAAAAGCGTCAACGGTTTCCATTCAATACGATTCCGGACGGTACCCTTTTTTCTTGTCGGTTATCCGAGTGAACTGTCTCTCGACCTTAAAATTGTCTAGCTATTCAGTAGCTAGACAATTTTACCTTCGTCTTGACTCGCTTCATACTCGGTTACTTATACGTAGGTCACACTATAAGTTTTGCGTAACTTAAAAAAACAACATGTTATAACCAAAATATTATGTTTATTGCTTTTCAAAATTCTCTCCTTTATATTTTAAGTATTTTTTCATACGATCGAACCATTTTTTAAAACAGGAGGACCACAGATCTGAAGGCATGTTTTTTACGTGCTTACAGAACGCTATCACTACCTCTTCGGAGTTGGTTAAAGTGAAACCTCTCATCAAATCTTTAATTTTGGGGAAAATACAGAAATCACAGGGTGCTAGGTCGGGACTGTGCGCAGGATGGGTGACGAGTTGTACTTTTTCGGAAGCTAAAAATGACTTTGTTTTGTTGGCCGTGTGTGAAGAAGCGTTGTCATGATGTAGGAGAATGCGGCTTTTTGGTCGTCTTTCGCGAACCTTTTCTAACAACCTGGGTAGACAAATGGTAGAATACCACTCGGCATTAACACTCTTTTGATCTTCAAGTGGAATTGTACAGGTGGGACCCGTAGATAAGAAAAAAAACTTGATCATTTTTTTTACCAACGTTTCTCGCCTGCCTCACTTTTGTTGGCCTGTTCTCATTTTCAAACACCCATTCACAAGACTGCTGTTTATTTTTCGGGTTCAAAACAATAAATTCACGTTTCGTCTCCTGTGACAATGTCACAAACAGCATTAGAATGTCCGTGGTCGTACTTCAGTAGCATCTGTGAGTACCATTCCAAGCGAGCCCGCTTCTGATCCGCTGTGAGTTCATGAAGGATCCAACGACAACAAAGTTTCCGAACTTTTAATTCTTCGTGTAAAATTTACTGAATTTGGCTCATACCAATCCCCAATAGTTCTCGAATTGTCTCATAGGTAATCTACGGGTTTTCTTCAATTAGCCGCTTAACAGTAGCCACATTATTTTCGTTGACGGCAGCTGAAGGCCGCCCTTTACGAAATTCGTCATGTAAAGAAACTCAACCTCTCTCAAATTCAGCGTACCATCGCCTCACGGTGCTCAAACAAGGTGCTTCTCTCCCAAAAGCATTTTGAAGACGAGCAGCACAGTCTTGCGGAGAGAGAGAACTTTTAAAATCATAAAAAATCATCGCTCTAAAATCTTTTCGACTTAATTCCATTTTCGTTGCGTACGTAGAACTTTGATGTGTGATAAAAAACAATTGACAAATAATTTCCCGCCAATTTTTTGTTTTATTACTAAGAAGGTTGCAACGTTTCAAAAAATATAACATTCAATATTCAAATACTTCCGATTAGCTAGAAGTGCAAAACTTTTAGTGTGCCCCATGTAACTCTCATGATATCTCTAAATGTGTGAAAAGGACTGATTTAGGCTCTTATTGCTTAATGCTACAAAATTAGAATTTCCTTAGTCTCATCAGGGATTGCGATGATTTTTAAAGTGACCACGTGAAGGTCGATTTGATAGTGCAGTGTTTTTCAAACTTTCATGACGCGATTGTCTCAGTATGTAAAAATATTTTGCGACCCCCTCCTCCGCGGTTCTTAACAAAACTTGATAAACAAGAAAATAAATAAATAATACATAATACTTCATTATAGCCCAAAAAAGTGATCGATTTCGTTGTGAAACTGTTGTTTTTTTTTACGATTTCGCGACCTTCTGCGACTCCCTTGGCCCCCCAGGGGGTCGCGAACCACACTTTAAAAATAACTGTGATAGTGTATATCGCTAACAATGGGGCCTCATTACTGACAATTCCTGTACTGCCTGTATTTAATTATTATTAAGCCCGCGACTTTGTCTGCTTTGGTCTGTTTATAAAGTAGTTTGTTTGTTATATCTACCTGTGTACGAAATTTCATTTAAATTCATTTAGCTCTTAATCGCGATTGAGCGACGAATCTTTAAAAACTTGCAAATTTATAATTTTTATTAATAAAATTAATAGAATTTAATAACATATCAAATATGTTGGTAATCGGTGTTTCCCAACGTGGGACCCACGCCCCACAGGGGGGCAATTTAATAGTTAAGGGGGGGGGACAATTAAAATTTGGACTCGAAGCGATTTTAACCCTCTTGCTCCGGGCCATTTAAATGCTACATAGATATCGGTGGCAAATTTAACAAAAAATAAATAAAAAAAATGCTGTTCATGTTTATTAGGTATAATTTCGTTTGACGTTACCAAAATATCAAACAGGCGATTAGAGTCGTCAAGTAATTTTGTCGGGAAAAAATATGTATGGGGATATAAAAATTTTAGAAATGTTCAAGTGGGGCATGGCACAAAAAAGGTTGGGAAACACTGTTGGTAATAGTTACTTATCATTTGTAATAGATTAATCAGAGAAGGCGTACGTGGATATAATGTATACATAATATCATTACATTACCTTACTGATAATCACACAATTATTTCAAAATGCTCTTTTTCTCAAATATAGACGAAACCCATTAGAGGTCAAATAAAAAGTACTTTTTTTTTAATATTCTTTATTTTCATATTAAAATAAGAGCATAGGAACATAAAATACGAAAAAAAAAATCATTTTCACGAAATTATAGGGGTGTACTCAATTGAGTACACTGACAGTCAAATAGGATACGAGTAGAAACTAGTCGTATTTTATTTGACGCCAGCGGTTCATCATCACTGTCGCAGTACGAGCTGTTTTCGATTATCGATATCCTTTCGGTTTGTAAATATCTCAATAGTACCAGGTACGTCTTACGGTATGGAACATGCCACCATATCCTCATCAGGGCCTTCCTCCTCATCTGTCACCGCACTTGGATCAGGTGGGATGATCACCAAGTCATATTCACCTCATTGCTTTGTTCTAAAAGAGCTTCAATTGCTGCTTCAAGCCTCTTGTAGCTCGTTCGAGTTGGAAAATGCTTTTTCTACATTGTTAGGAATCTGAGAAAAAAAAACGGTTATTTTGCTTACGTATGTTGTCACTGTACTCAACCGAGTACACCAACATTTACATGGCCCTTGTTTTATTTCAGTTACAAGTCATGATTGCATTATTGTTTATAACTTATCCTGATACGTATTTTATACTAATGAAATGAAAAAAAAATCAACTTATTAACAATAATTATTAGCAAATAACAAAAATAAAGAACTTGCCTCCACAGTGTCTCGATGATATAACTTCAACTTGCACTTTTTATAATAAAAAGTCACACAACCCTCGTAATATTTGTCAATACATTTGAACAGTTGATTGATAAAGTAAAATAACAAGGTAGTCTACGATAACTTTAATTATTTTTATTTTAATTATTAGAAAATAACAAAAATAAAGAACTTGCCTCCACAATGTCTCGATGATATACCTTCAACTTACACTTTTTATAATAAAAAGTCACACTACCCTCGTAACATTTGTCAATACATTTGAACAGTTGATTGGTAAAGTAAAATAACAAGGTAGTCTACGATAACTTTAATTATTTTTATTTTTATTATTAGAAAATAACAAAAATAAAGAACTTGCCTCCACAGTGTTTCGATGATATAACTTCAACTTACACTTTTTATAATAAAAAGTCACACTACCCTCGTAACATTTGTCAATACATTTGAACAGTTGATTGGTAAAGTAAAATAACAAGGTAGTCTACGATAACTTTAATTATTTTTATTTTTATTATTAGAAAATAACAAAAATAAAGAACTTGCCTCCACAGTGTCTCGATAATATAACTTCAACTTACACTTTTTATAATAAAAAGTCACACTACCCTCGTAATATTTGTCAATACATTTGAACAGTTGATTGATAATGTAAAATAACAAGGTAGTCTACGATAACTTTATTTTACTTATGGACTGTAACTTACCTGTACTCACTTGAGTACAGCGACTCCTAAAGGATTAATTTGCCAGCCAGGATTCGAACGTTTATGTAAATCAACGTTTTTATATAACATAAAAAGTTAAATTTAAATTAATATAAATAAGTTCGAAATAAAGCTCCCTGGTAGTGTTGCAATTTTATTTATCAAAGTTAGCGACGCTTTATACTTACGTTCATATTACATACTTTGTTTGTGCTTGGGAAAGAAATACTATCCGGTCATTACACGTGAACTCAAATTACGAAATGACTTGAGTTTGCATTTTAATGTACAAGTATTTATTGTAGATTGTATGGATGTTTGAATATAGCCGGGTGATATTTTTTAAACGGTTGAAAGTGAAGTGGTATACTCGTTAGTGCTCGTCAGTGTACACTATGCCAGTGAGTGGTAATGAGTGAGAATCAAAGCAAGTCAGCTGGTGGACCATTCATTAACAGTCATTAACTACGATGAATTCTAAGAGGAATCGGATAAATTTTTTTGTGAGTGGTATATTAATAGCATAGTGGTATATAATAGGGCTTTGCACCCCATTACTAATACCCTCCCCCCCAGCAAGAAGTAGCCTGTCATCTCTATGTATCTCAAATGAAAATCAGCGAGAGTTTAGCAACAATAAAAGTGAAACTTTTATCGAAATAAACATGTTATATTTTTAACAGATTATATATATATATATATATATATATATATATATATATATATATATATATATATATATATATATATAATTGTAATTTATCATATTATATTATTTTAATTATTATAATTAATATTTGGCGATTTTATTGTTTATTATTGTGAATTATGTGCACTATAAACTGCGCAATGCAAGCACTTAGTACGAATTATTTGTAGAGATATGAAATTCGAATTTAAAATGTAGTTATAGAGACTTGACATTTTTTTAAATTTATCTTAAAATAAAAAAATATTACAACTGTTTTTTGACATTTCATGTGGTAGATATCATGTCGAGTGTTTTGCATATTCTTGTTGTTACGGTTTAGTGAGATAACTCAAGTATTTTTGATGCACGTTTTAATATAGTTGAAACTGTCATTAAGTAACACTAATTGAGCAAAGCATTATTAAACGATTACCTATTTAACAGACGTGTTTTGTTCTATTTTACCGCCATACATGCGGTTATGTTCTATTTCTTAGATATTAGATGTACTGTACATAAACAAATATTTCTAACTAAACACATTTATTTCGAAATAAAACAATCAAGTACAGTCAAGTTACAACGGATACGTTTGCTGAACCGGTCGGCAGGGTTAAAAAAGATATTGATACGCGTAAGTGACCAAAAATGACCTATATAGATAAATGGTATTGATTCCTTAATTTCGTCACAAACACATGAAATATATTGCGTGCCTCTGAGGGCTAGTGATAAAATAAAATTGGAACAAGACGTCGTTTGTACATAGGAGATGTTTAAGAAAACATTATATAGTATTAATAAGATCAATAGAATTCAAATGTACATTTTTCATCTGTCTGTCCGCATATTTGTTTCGGTATCACGCAAAGACCAATGCACCAAACTGAGTGTAGTTTTTACATTTGTGTTCCTGAAGGTCAAACTTAAAATATGGTTTTAGAAGTGGTAAGTCCTATTAGTTTTCCTATTTCTAAAATCAAAACGTTGCAGTCAAAAGTCAGACCCATTTATACTACTTAACCACGTTTAAAAGTCTGGACGAATTTGAACGAAATTTGGTACACTGATAGATTAGATCGTAATCTAACATATAAACTACTTTATACGGTGGTGCACGCGGGTAAGCAGCTAGATGTAGTTAATAAATAATTAAATGTTACGTTTACAGAGGAAGAGGCGTTATGAACCACCTGTACCGCCGCCGCAATCCGCCAAGAAGTTTTGCCAGGAAGGTGCCATCTCCAACGGCGCTGGGCCCCACTCCTCGGACCCCAACTGGCACAACAACTTGGCCATCCAAACCTTATCCACCTCCAATGTCCAGGGTCCCCCGGATATCAAGCAATGGCTCAACAAGTAAGTGGCCTCTATACTAGCCACGATTTTTACTTCAATAGACATTAATGAAAACGTAACAAAGTTTTGATTCTCGAAATGAAATTACAGTATAATTTCAATTAACCGAATCAAATAAAAGTCAGTGGTATTTCGTATAATCGAAAATCCGGATAATCGATTTCATAGTTAAAACAAACAGTACATAATAAATTTTTTTTTTTTTATTATGTAAGGGGTTTTACTTGCGTCATTTAGACAAAACGATATAAAAAAGTTACGAGCTATAAAGATAATGGATTACATAATACCATTTCTAAATCGGTAATTAGGGCCGTGAAGAATAAGTCCGGATAATCGAATATTCGGATAATCGGGATTCTACTGTACTAATAAATCGAAACATTAAAAATTTATTGACGGCTAATCTACTTTTTATATATTATTTTTGGATATCAGTTGTTTTATAGTAGCACCTATTATTCATTTTTTACGTTTTGGTTAAATTCTATTAAAATAGTTTATAGTTGAAATTATATTTATTTTATGAAATCGAATAATTATTTCTATACAATTTAATATAAAGATAATGGAATTTTGTTGAAATTATAAAAGAAACACTCTGTAAAGGAAAGTAAGCACAAGAAATAATCGAATTTTTATTTGTACTATTGTTCAATAGATAAGCAGACTGTCAGTTTATCTTTGGTCGGGTCATTATTCGTTTTTTACACTTTCATCGAGTCCTTTTGAAATAGTGATGTGTATCATACTGTACTGTGCGCTTGCCCATAGATATATTGTTGACACATTTGCTTGCCAGTTATAAACCAGTATTAGTACATAACAGTCGTTCCCAATATTTGTGTTAGTGAACCTCCCTTAAACAACAGTTGTGAGAAAGACGATCTTACCTATAAGTTAAATAAAAAAAAAAATGTCGTTTGTAGGAAAACCTATTTTTTATTTTAAGAACTGTGAGTAGAGTTTTTAACTGTCGATCGGCTCAGCTTTTGAAAGTAAATAATGTGAACGAGTACAATAAATCTAAAATATTAACTATAGTTAATTTTAAACTTTGGCATTGTTTAAATACGAGTATATTTAAATTCACGATCGGGACTAAACACGACACGATTATAGGTAAATACTAGCGTACCTGAACTTTATTGTACTGATTTTTCTACGTGGATTGTACCATTTCGCAGTCACGGCAGAATTGAAGTGAACGGCGTCTTCTGGCAGCCCGCGCAGTTTTTCAGCCACACTTGCATTGTCACGTTTAGTCCCGATCATGAAATTAAAATATACTCCTTTTTTTATTTTAAGAATATATCTTACTGATTTATTTAAATTAATAACATTTTTATTTAATAATAACGACGTATATAATTAATGAATAGCCTCCCAATACACTACATAGAAATAGCTTACGCAAGATACTCTGGCAGCCTCTCTAGTCAACCTCTTTAGTCTGATCAATGTCATTATTGGGCATGGATCTCTTCTTGTAATATAGTATTTCAAAATTGGTGCTTTCTTCCCTTAGTTGCTGCTTGCAACTTACTGCTGTTTGATAAGTTTTATAAAAAGCGGGTCATCCGAACAGTATCTTCAAATGACGATGTTGTGTCGTTAAAATCAAATTATTTTCATTATTAATCGTTTCTAAATAGATTCCTAGTTCGAATTCATTATATTATAATTGTTCTACATTATTGTAAGTAGGTGATAGATTATTGGTCTCAGATATATATATGTACAGAGTCATTCATTTAAATATTATTTCTGTCTCGGTAGCACATATACGATTTGACCACAAAAATAATTTCAACTCTTGACTCTTTGATGAGGCATTGGAATAATTCGGTTTAATATAACTGTGCATTCATAGTGCAGTTATTAAAATATTAAGTTAATTAAAATGATTACGTGAAAAATAACTTTCATAAATTTTTTTTTTCTAAATTTATTTTCTTAAATAAAAAATATTTATAATTTTATATGCTAAAATGTGTAGACTTATTATAGTAATTATTATTACTTTTGAATACAATTGATTTCTAATAAGCTAAACATTATGTTGTTTAGACGTGAACGGATGTTAGACACTTTTTGTAGCAAGACGATGTTTCAGTTTGCGTGTAACATTTTTTAACTCGTCGTCAATTAACGTCAGGTGCGATTGTGCTAAAACGTATTCAAAATTAATAGAAAAAAATTAGAGTGAATGCGGAATGAATAATATGTTTTGATTCAGAGATTGGATAGGTGCTGGAGAAGGATGGAGAAAAATTTGCTGGAGATATCGAATTAATAATGAGGAGGTCCTGCTTAGGGTTAAGGAAAAGAGACAAATTATAAGAACTATTAAGAGTACAGAAGGGGAAAAATGTTGGGACACTTGATACGACATGACGAACTTATGAACATTATAATAGAAGGTAATATAGAAGGAAGGAGGGGAAGAGGGAGACCAAGACGTAGTTACATCAGGTAGATCAAGGAAGGAGTTGGTGTCGTGTCGTATCAAGAGGTGAAGAGACTCGCTGAAAATTGTAGTGATTGGCAAGAGCTCCACCGACAAATTAAATAGTATAGATAGATAGATATGGTGATAGGAAGATAATGATGGTGTTTCTCGAATGTAACCAGGTTTCAGTCGTGGTCGAACAATGAGAAGATCCAAGCTATCGATGCATTGATCAGCCGCTGCGCGAACAGCCACGTCCGGTACATGATGAAGGCGATCGAGCCTCTGTTCCAACGGGACTTCATCTCCCTATTACCGAAGGAGTTGGCACTCACTGTTCTGGGTTATCTGCAGCCGAAGGACTTGTTGAGGGCCGCGCAGACCTGCCAGTATTGGAGGTAAGTGTCGTTGCCTATTCATACAGTTTTATTCGCAACTTCGCGCCTGTTACAGAAGTATGTAATCGCTTTTCGAATGTGTATCAAGGTACATACACCAGATTTTGAGTTAGACCTCCAGATGCAAACAGCATCAAATTTGTTGCAGCACTTTTTATGTGGCGTCGAAACGAACCTACAGATAGTTAGTTTAGATACTGTTTACTTACAAATTTATTATACAAGTCTCATTCTTTATGAACCTACTTTTAAAAAGAGATCCTCAATTTTCCCCATTTTTATTTATCTCATAATTCTGTCAGTTTTTAAACTAATTTGGAACTGTTTGTTTCAATTGGATTTTTTTTTTCATTTGAAACTATATACATACAAATAGGTCTAATAGAAATTTATTCAAAATCGGCTTCAGTAGTTTAATTTTTCAATCAAAATAACTGATTTTTAGATTTTATCGTTTTTTTTTTTTTGTGGATATTGTGGATTTAATTATAATTTACTTTGCCCACTTTACAAAATAGTACACCTACTGATGTGTTAGTTTATATTATGTATACTAATATTAGAAAGAGGAAAGATTTGATTGTTTGTTTGTAATGGAAAAACTCAAAAACTACTCAAACGATTTTTTACATAAGCTTTATATTATTTTCGAACATTTTATCTACTCGTGCAAAGCGATTGCTTATTACATAACAACATATTGTTGTTTATAATTCCAAATTTATCATGTACAGGTTTCTCGCTGATGATAATCTTTTATGGAAAGAGCAATGTCGTCGCATCGGGATCACTACACTTAAGAAAATGCCACGGTCAATTCCGCGATTCACCAGCCCCTGGAAAGCGGCTTATATGCGCCAGTATCTCATCGAGAACAACTGGCTGTATAAGCCGGTCAACAACCCCATCGTCATGCGTGGCCATGACGATCACGTGATCACCTGCTTGCAGTTTTATGGGAACCGTATTTTGAGTGGTAGTGATGATACAACATTGAAAGTGTGGTCGGCAGTCACCGGCAAAGTGAGTTGCGTTTACCTTTATTTTTTTGAATTATATTTTAATTATAGTTTTTGAACCGACTTTAAAAAGAAGTAGGCTCTCAATTTAGATCTATCTTTTATGTTTGTTATTTCAAATCTCCGTCAGTCGTGAACCTATTTGGACTTTTTTTTTATCTCAAAGAATGTACGTACAGATTGGTTTCATAAAAATGTTACGAATATCGCTTTATAAGTTTAGTTTTTAAATTGAAACAACCGGTTTTGCCACAATTAAAGTTACTTTTTTTGTTTAACACAATCTTAATTAATATTCGACCCGACGACCAACCTCACACGAAGGTGACCTGAAAATTCTTGGCATCAAGTAAACAAACTGATGACCTCCCTTATGCAAATGGTAATTACTGTCAATGACAATTGAGATTGCTGTGGAAAGTGCGGTTTGAAAATGAGAAAAGGAGAAAATTACATTTGTACATTACATTACATACATTTGATAAAATTATCTCAAGTTCGAGATAATTTAGGACGTTTACCTGCAGAAAATTATGACTTTTAAAAATTAATAATCTGCTGTCTATACGTGCTGGACCTCGTGTGAATAGCTGACATTTTTTTTAACTTTATTTAACCATACATTCTATATTTTATTATTTCAGCCATTAACTGTCCACTGCTGGACATAAGCCTTCCCCATAAGAGGAGTTTTGCCAGGCTTTGTTAGGCTTTTAGAAATGTTTTAAGAGGGACGCTGCTGCCCATCCCTCGCCGTCCCGTAGTCGCCTCTTACGACATCCATGGGAAAGAAAAGGGTGGCCCATTCTATGCCGGGGTACACATGGCGATTTAACCGTATAATCGTTTATTTGTTTACAGTGCCTTCGAACTTTGGTGGGACATTCTGGCGGGGTCTGGTCTTCTCAAATGGTCGGAGATTTAGTTATCAGCGGTTCGACCGATAGAACTCTCAGGGTGTGGAATGCGAAAAGTGGGCAGTGCCTAAAAGTTCTCGCCGGCCACACCTCCACAGTTCGATGCATGCACCTTCACCAGGACAGGTAATGTGGACCAAAGAATATAGCGTATTTATTTCCTTCTGTCTGTGTTAATGTTGTGTATGTTTAAAATATGCTTCTAAAGTGTATTTGCATCAGCGAATTTTCATTCTTTGCACCACTGGTTTTTAGTATGCTGTGCATTAATTTGATATTTATTTCTAGGTATTTGATATTTATTATTGTTTGTCCACTGCGAATTGCAATGCGAATAGTACTTATGCTATTCATATGGATTTTTACCTGTTTTGCTAGCGCGATATCCTACTTTAAATGGTTTCATTTTTTATGATACCTAGAACAGTAAACAAGATGGCGGCGTAACTGGCCACTCGATTTATATTTCATAGAATACGCTGTGATGTGTATGCTGCCTTGTTTTGTTGTTCTTGAAGGCTATAGTGTTATGCCTTCGTATTCTGTAATTTCGCTGCCTTATTCTACCCGTTAAAGTGAACACAATGCAAGCACAGTTGAGTTGAAAGAGATTAGGCTACCAACAAAAAATGACTTTATCTAGCAACATATAATGGACTGACAAAAAGATCGTGGATCTGGAATAAGAGGTGAACAGGTTACACTGGGATGTTATATGAAATCCAAAGACGGAGGATATGATGACCCGGTAACTTGTTCTCCCACTGGGAGGACCATCCGTCTCGTGGTGGTATCGGGTTGATTGTCCGCGAGTTCCTCCTTAATAAAGTCTTAAAGATCGAGAGTGTGTTAGTAAGAGTGGTATACCGGGTACTCAGAATTACCAATACGTATTCGGTAAAGGTTATACTAGTATATGCACCGACCGTGACACTCCGATGATGAGATGAAGGCAGTGTACGAGGACATTTCAAAAGCCATACATTCCTCTAATACTCAATGCACAGTATTGATAGGAGACTTCAGCGCTAAACTGGGCAAAAGGAAAGACAATGAAACGAGGATGGGCATTTTTGGTATTGGGCAATGAAATCCTAGAGACAACAATTGACTGAATTCATGGAGAAGGAGGGACTCTTTCTGTCAAAACGGCCACACAGAAAATGGATCTAGGCTAGCCCCGACACATAAAAAAAAAAATAGATGTCATCATGACGACTAATCGTCATTTGTTCAATGATATCTCAGTGATCAACATATTTAAAAGCGAAAGTGATCCCCGAATGGTAAGAGGCACTTTGAACCCGAGTATTAGACTAGAAAGGTTTCATCTGATAACCTCTGCATTCCGAACTTTGTATGCCCATATTGAAAACCCCGAGAGATTTTAACTCAAATTGTCAAATCGTTTTCAGTGTCTGGTAAACTGTGAAATGACGGACTATATCGAGGATAAACTAGTGGAAACTATCTAAGCAGTGGAAGCTGAATTTAGCAAACCCAAAAAGAACTCAAAAACTCCAAACCCCACGAGGAAACGGCGTGAATCGTGGTTTCAGTCTTCTTCTTCTACGTCAGAATATAGACAGCTTAATAGGCAAATCGCCAAATATATACGGCGCGGCATATGCCAGTTCAATATTATATGCATTGAACAGTGAATAAAGCGAAATCAAGGCCTCAAAAAATGCGCCACAGATTTGACTATTGGGCCAAGCCAACTGACAAAGTTAAAAACCGACACCGGTGATATAATTTCCGCCACATCTGAGATTTTAAGCGAGATTGAGAAGTTCTATGGACAGCTGTACACAACGTCGTTAACACCACATACCAATGCGAATAACGACTAAGAAGCTAAAGTCATACGATTTTATATCGAGGATATTCTGGACGTCAGTTTACATAAGATTGTAATGTCTCTCAAACAGCTTAAAAACGACAAGGCATTGGAGGAAGACAATTACAGCAGAGCTTCTGAGAGTGAGTGGAAAACCGGTACTTGTAGTACTTCAGAGGCTTTTTAATTTTATCACTCATAACGGTGTTACGCCTAAAGTGCGGAGCAGAAGTGCAGTGGTTCTCTTTTTTTAAAGAAGTGTGACAATACCTTATTGAAGAACTGTAAACCAAAGCCTTGTTAAATCGCGTCTACGTACTGTTTTCGAGAGTCGATCAAACTTATTACGCCCAAACTCGACGACTTCCAGCCACCCGAACAAACTGATTTCCGAAAGGGCTTTACCACCATAGACTATGTGGTCTATGTTCGGTAGTCTATACAGAAGACCAAAGAGTATAATCTACCACTATGTCTGGCGTTTATGGACTATGAGAAAGTCTTTGATTCGGTAGAGACGTAGGCGGTATAACATTAATTGACTATAGATAAATCGAAGTGTTCAAGTGTGTATACAGTAAAGCTAAAATGATTATCTAAGTACAGAGTCAGAGTACGAAACCCGTCCCAATCCAGAGGGGTATAAGATAGGGTGACGTCATATCCCCGAAACTCTACACAGCTACATTGGAAGATGATTTCAAACTCTTGGACTGGAAATGATATGGTATAAACATCAATGGGGAATACATCACTTACTTTCGATATTCCCATAACATAATGATTATTAATCATGGCGAAATCAGTTGCCTTTGCATGGCTATGTTTCGGTTTAAAAGATGGGATATGGCATTGAAATTACAGGGTACACAGGCATAACACCTTAGTCCTCGGGAATATCAACGCATAAAGGGTATTAAGGTCGACACATTATAGTCTGTTATGTCCAGAGTTATCATTTTCTATCAGATAGACCGTCAGCTTGTTTGTCATTCTAAGTTGCATAAAAAATAAGATAAAATCAATAAGATCTTTGACTTTAGTAAGTATAATCACATACTACGTGTACTATATAGTATTTATACAATACTGTATTGTCTGGCTGCACTTTGGTCTTCTCTATTAACCCATTGTTCAAAAAACTAACGTTCCTGCAAGTGAGCTTATTACCTTATAATGCCATAATCGTTTAAACGTTCACTATAAAATTTGAAGTATACTCGTGCATATTGGTATTGGTATCATTACTCCTTGAATTATGGCAAGGCGAGCTTTGCTCGATATTTTTGTTTGACTATTTGAGAGCAGTGTACCGTTAATGCCGTTTTCCGCTTTCGCTCTCCTTTCAATATTTTCTAAAACTTTCCATCCCTCGTCAACGGCGAACCCAAATATAGAAACTCGCTCTATCATGTCCTGTCATTATCTAACTTGCTGTTAATTAAAAAAGATATAGCGTTATAATTGGAAAAAAATTGTGACTGATACACATCTTGATCTAAAAGAGGCTATTCAGTTTATTAATGGCTAGTCTTTAGCTATATTTTTGTCCACGTAACCGGGATATGTTTACTGATGAGGATAAAAATCAGCCTGTATCCATCCATCCTATCCATCTTCATCCTATGTAGTACATTTATATTAAAGTTTAATTAACCAAAATAAGTCGCTCAGGCGCTATAAAGTAAATAATCCACCAAACTCATTTATAATATTAGCTGTAGTAGCACAAACCTTCTGAGGTTGTTAAAAGAAATATATAAAAAATATACTAACACATGCCACATAGATACAAATTAATTATAAAACTAATATATATTTTAATTAATATACGTTAATAAAAAAATTCTGGTAACGAGGTTGACGAAAGATACCAATTCAATGTATTTGACAATAAAAAAGCATACTACTGCATCTCCAACAAAGTAATATACCTGTAACCCAAAAACAAGGGTTAAAAGAACAAACTATCGACAACAGAACCTTTAATAAAATTAAACAGTATATAACTTCACACTGGCCAGAAAAGCAAGATCTAGACGAGTTTCAAACTTATTTCGAAAAAAGAAATGAAATCACTCTTTCAAAGACAGGGAGATCATGCATATCGAATGGATACTCAAAAAACCAATTCTAGAAATGCTGCATGTTGGACATAACTAAACAAGGCACTGGCCAGAAATGAAAGATCTAGACAACGAGTTTCACACTTATTAAAAAAAAAAAAGAAATGTTTCTATCGAAGACTGTATCGTTCTGTGGAATGATTAGATTTCTTTAGATTAGATTAGATTTCTTTTTTTGCGAGAACATTGTTTTTTTACAGATATTGATCTATTAGGTGAAGTACAAATGTTCGCCTTATATTCTAAAGTATGCAAAATTATTATTGGGTACAAGATACATCACATTTAATACATACATATAAGTGCTAATTAATAATAGAGTACAAATTATATCATTTTGTAAATAATTCTCCCAAAAAATGATAACGTTTATCGACATTTAGTAATAATAATTCGTCAAATGGAAGGTTATTCGTACCGAATGCATATTCAAGCAACCAATTCTAGAAATGCTCTATGATGGACATAACTATCACTCAGTTATTAGCTCGTCTTCATGTTAGAGGCGAGATATTCTGTTTTTTTTTTTTTACAAAAAGATGTAACATTTGCAATTAATCGAGAAATAACACCCATAAAACTCCTGCATATACGTACAGTGTACCAGAAGAACCTTGGCACAGAATGCATATTAATTAAGCGGGCACTATTTACGGATACATGTGGTTAATGATTACAGATGCCTATTCAAAATTATTAGATATCATACCTACATACATGTATGTAAGGTTAATATCACATGGGAGGTTATCAATATCACAAACAACAATAGTTAAACTAGATGACAATGACCTACAAGTACAGTTCTCTTCAGATGAATTAAAAGTTACTCGTACTGTAAAAAAATTGGCACTACATGCATTAAAACTAGACAGTACTACCCCAAAACAAATGGACTGGCCGAAAATGCCATGCGCATTTAAGAAGAAAGAATATTTGAGAAATTTTTAAAGATAGAATATTGAGCAGCGATAGAAGCATTAACTTGTACCAAGGTTTAAATAACTTTCTCCGAGGGCCCAGAAATACCCCTCGTCGATCGACAAGCCGTTTTAACTACAATGATATTTGGAAGACCCATGCGTACAACCTTCCATCTCTTAAAACCAAACGTAAAGGAAAACCTGGAGAAAATTAGATTGTATCATCAATTCAGCCATTCTGGTTATACCTATAACATATAGCTCTGGACATAAAGCATGGTTTAATAAAACAACCGGCAAAGACTGATCCCCGGACAATTACAAAATGGAATAGACTCTATTTAAATATAATAGAGAGGGCAGATGGAATACATAGACGCAAACAATAATCAGTTGCTTCCGAGCTCGTATAGTTCAAGCGTCAAGGGTAACTTGAGTGAGCACCAACACGTAGCTGAGGCTTCAAAGAGTAGACAACATCCTGGTCACCGCGACAGTCTACGGAAATGGCTACTATCTCAATCTTCCGAGCAGAGCTTGACCTCGAAATACCCATACCGTCATCACTGTAGCGGAGTTCTGAGCAAAAGAAGAATCCACCAGTACGTTTCAGATACTAGAGTCATTTCGTAAGATGGACTAAATGTAATAGTGCAACCCTCCTCCTGAGGTTGGCAAAAGACACGTGTAAAAATTAAACTGACTAATGCCACATAGAGACAAATAAATTATAAAAATAAAATATGTTTTAAACAATATAATATACGTTAATACAGAAATGACAAGTTTGAACTTTTTTGAGTTTTTTTTTGTCTTGTTGAGTAATATCCTATCCTATATGGATAAAATATTTGGGTATAGGTGTTATAAGAAAGGTTATCAATTGCCAAAGAAGTCTGTTTCCCTTCGCGGCTTTACATAACAACAGGAAGGTTAAAGTGCACCTTGTATGAATCATAATAGGGTTTGTTTTGCATAACTCGACCATTTAATAAGATCGATATTTATTCCGAAGACATAATATTAACAGAATAATAAGTTTTTTTTTACTTTTAATGATAAACAAGCGGTCGTATCATTGATGGGAAGTAGTAACCGTTGTCTATAGTCATGACACCATTGACATTATAGAATACATTGTAATGCCAATAGTACTTTTCATGAGTTGCCATTCTTGGAGACTTAGTGATTTTTTTTAATGAATAATAACGGAGTGGATAAATGGTAATCCCACCCGCGCTAATGGTTTACACTGGTGAGACGTTAGTGAGGGATGATAGGTGAGGATGAAAGCTAGTCACATGCGATGGTTTCTAGGAGGAACCGCTTAGAGTTTGACCTGACAGAGTATATTGTTAGCAATAGGGATTAGCCTCCTCATTACTAACTATCCCTTCCCCCCGATCTTATGTTACTATGCTGTCGTTCCCTTTAATTTTACTACCTTGTCTCGCCTATCAGATCGAAACATAGTCATGCAATATAAAATAATATATACATATTTACATTGGAAAGTTGCAACAAATCAAATCCTATTATGATTCATTGATTCACGAAGAGCAAGGTTATCTCCCCCCCCCCCCCCTTCCCTCCCGCTCTTGACTCTTAGATTTGGCGATAGAGATATAGGAGACTTTAAAAGAATTTGGATTCACCTATTTCGACTGTCGATCAGTTTTCATTAACAATACGCAATTCGATTTCAACAATAAGATGATGGTATTGTTGGATATTGTAATTGAATGGATATTGTATTTCCAATTGATTCTCTTCTAACCGACTAAGTAGTGAGTAGAGATATGTAAAATAGTCTTCTTTCCATTTAGGAGTTTCCACTTGTCGGTGCAACTAATTCATGCATTGTCTTCCAGCCAGCTCTATTCCAAACAATATCTTTGACCCACCCTACACGACATGACATCTAATGAAATAGATGTAAAGTAGTAAATTGTTTATTTGCTTAAGAAATCCAATATTTAGTAAAATATATAAGCCATTTGATGTGGCGAAACATATGAACATCATTATTACACAAACCTTAACAACAGTGTTTCTTGTGAATAAATTCCATTTTGATTTTGGGAGATTGATTTTTAAACCAGTAAGAATAACTAGACCCGGTAGGTGTTGAATCAGATAGTTTTAAATTGCCTTTTCTCTTGTTACAGGGTCGTATCTGGATCCCGCGACGCGACTCTCCGCGTATGGTCTATATCCGAAGGGCGATGCATCCGCGTGTTAGTGGGCCATCTGGCCGCCGTCCGCTGCGTGCAATACGACGGAAAGGTCGTCGTGTCTGGCGCGTACGACTATTTCGTCAAAGTCTGGAACCCGGAAACTGGCGAGTGTCTTCACACGCTGGCCGGGCACACCAACAGGGTGTACAGCTTGCAGGTAATCAATGTTTTTTTATGATAGAGTGACGATTGGTGGGCACGTTGCTTTGTGTAAACGAGGTCCCAGATCGAGATGTTTCGCTTTCTTGAATTGCAACACTAGCATCTTAATAGTTCCACATTGTTCTGATAGATGTATATTATTGTAATTTGCTAATACAAACTATCGCAAATCGATCCTAATTATAACCTAATTTCTGTTATTTTATGAGTGCAGTACAAAATTGTCATTGGCAATAATAGACTGGTGATATTAAATTCAAGAGTAGATGTGCTGATGAAGTATAGTGCTAGCAAAAGAGCTGATAGACTCAAATACTAACAGTCCCTTCCCCCCCAGTTCGACGGAGTACACGTGGTGAGCGGTTCCCTTGACACGTCGATCCGTGTTTGGGACGTTGAATCTGGCCAATTGAAGCACACACTCACTGGTCACCAATCGCTGACCTCGGGGATGGAGCTCCATTCCAACATACTGGTTTCTGGGAATGCTGATTCAACAGTAAAAGTATGGGACATTACCACAGGGCACTGCTTGCATACACTATCCGGTAAGTTGTAGTTTTTTTTTTCTCATTTTTTCCATTAATATATTACACCACAGTTTTTATCCTACACTTTAGCATTCAAAAAATAGATCTATATGGAGTAATGTGTCGCAATGTCATGTAATCGTTTGGTACACATTACTGGTTATTTTCTATTCTGTGCTAATTATCAATATTTGTGAGTTTTTAATTTATCACCACTGCACATCTTTATGGTGTGCAAGAGCAAAAGCGCAAGAAATGATAAACTCCAAATAAAACGCTATAATCAGGTTCTTACTCAGTGGTAGAGAAGTAATAGTCTAATATGCTCCTCATCTGACGAGAGAGTCCATGCCCTTAACAGTGGCATATTCGATGGGTTATCACAGAATATTTGAAAGTAGAAAGAATATCATATGTGAAGTTTGTCGTCAATACGTATACATATATTAATAAAAATGTATTCAATTACCTAATTAAAAAAACACGTTTCTTTCAGGTCCAAACAAACACCAGTCCGCGGTAACTTGCTTGCAATCCAGCAACCGTTTTGTGATAACTTCATCTGACGACGGAACTGTAAAACTATGGGACCTTCGTACCGGTGAGTTTATCCGCAACCTTGTAGAGCTGACATCAGGTGGATCCGGCGGCGTGGTTTGGCGGATTCGGGCATCCGCCACCAAGCTGATCTGCGCTGTCGGCTCGCGCAACGGCACCGAGGAGACCAAACTCCTAGTCCTCGACTTTGATGTGCCTGGTGCATGCCGAAAATGCGACGAATAGCATCGACTCAATCGACGCCTGTTGCGTCGCTACGCTAACTTGTACGCGCCGTGGCATTGCTAAGCACAGTCAATCGAGGATCGGGATCGACAATCTAGAATCGATTGATTATAACAACGCCCCCACTGGTGGAGCTCTCACTATTGTACACACACCGTTGCTCCATTGCTGTCAACCGTGACGAAACTAATTTAAATTTTATATATATATTAACGCATTTATCATCCGATTGCAAAAGAAATAATATCCGACTCTCGCAGCTCCACCATTTGAGGCCCGTTTACGGTACGCGCGCAAGTGTATGCGACCGCAAGTGTATGCGACTACTTTATACCCACCGGACTACGGTAAAAGGGAATGTGCACATGGACCCAGAACAATACGTGTAAATCTCAACATACAACAGTTAGCATTCAATTCAGTTACAGTATAAGTCTAGATAAAAATGGTGGCTACTAAACCATCTCCCATTGCCAAATTGTAACAACTTATATATTCCATTATCCCAAAGAATTAATGAAAAGAAAATTGGTTTTTTAGATCTAAGTTATTTCTAGGCGCCCCGGCAATTTGTGTTGTTTCGAATATGTATATGTACATTTTTTTTTTTTTATTTTAAATTGTGTATTTCAAGTTCGTTTTTTGCGACGTTTTATCATTTATTGTAATGTTAATTATATTATTTAAATAAGTTATTTTAATTGAACTTATTGATTGATTTTATTTTTACCAAACAATATATTTATATCTTTACAGTATATTTTATTTCTTGATCGATTCATGTTTTAATTATTTGACCTTGTCTTGATGATGCACTTGTTGTCATTACCAGTTATATGTGTTTTTATATACAATACTGTCCACAAAATAAATATTTGTAATTGTCATCTAACTATATTAAATTCATATAAAGATATACATATTAAACTATATCATGAGCAATAATACGGTTTGTTACCAATGTGACTTTGATGGCATTAAAATGTAACTTTTAAAATTATCTATGATTAACTATATCTTATGCAAACTTAGCACTATAATCTTTTCTTTAGTCTTGATATTGGTAAATCCAGCATTACTTACTTACACTCCTAATAGTAATTGATCATTACCGTCAATGATTTATTTAGATCTAAATTTCCCTTCATGTTTCATTTTCAAAACAGTTTTGCTTTCAAGAAAAAAGCCTTGAAACAAAAACTGTTTTGAAAATTGAATACGTACTTCTTTTAGTTTCACTTCTGGTCTTTTGTAATAAAGTGCCAACAAAACTCACGTTGATAACAATATTATTTCACCATACGTCAATAGTTTTTAGTGATCATATTTAAAATTGCTAATACACCCAATTCTACCGCTAACATTAACTAACCTGCAGTTTGAAATACTATAAAAATTATTAAATGTATTCATACACACATACATAGATAGATGTACCTATCTCCCATCCGCATGGGCAGAAACTGAATAAGTATTTAAAAAATGTAATTCAATATATATATATATCTGATGTTTATTGTGGTCTCCTGAATACATATTCTTGTATATAACTTATCGAATCCTAAGTAAATATTGAAGTAATATCACATATATTTAAACAGTCTAAAATGGCAACTTTTTCGACGTAAATGGTATCCCAATATAATTCAAAAATAAATTATTTTTATTGATTATTAAATAATAAATTATTCTACTAAACAAAATAATTAATCTATATTGGCAACACTCGCTGTGTAGGTGCGGCTATGAAAGAGTCAGCCCATCCTGTCTCGTAGGTGTCGTAAGAGACGATTAAGGGAACTTAATAGTCGAAGGACCTAGTAATAAACAGTATACCTAGTAATGTTTACTTTGTTTTGACAGCATTCCTAGAAAAAGTCGTATGTATATAATTTTAATATGAATTAATTTGGATCCTATTACAAAAGACCGAAGGTACCATTTTAGACTTTGTTGTTCAGCGAGTCGACTATTTGTAAGCATTTATACACCAGTCTACATATTTAACTCACAAGATTTATTAAGTATAGGAGCCCAATAGCCGACATAGTATTAAGTCCATAATGTAACATTGAAAATTATAACCTGTAATGATAAAAGGACAAGTTATTTAATATAAACAAACTCCATGTCATACAGCAAATTTTAAAACTTAAATTATACATAAAGGTAATTAAATTACAAGATTTTATTTTATAGTCTATAAGATGCAACTTCGAACACCATATAATATAGATTTTATTTAATTTAATTTATTTATTGATATAATTTACAAATATTACTATACTATTTCTTTGTACACTCGATAGAAAAATTCTCTTCTATGTTCATTTTACTTAGTGACTGCTTGTCATTTAATCTAATTTATTTCTATAATTTCCAATTTATTTTCCATTTTAAATCTTTCCATTGATGTATTTACAATTTTATATTACACACGTGAAATATGTCATACGTCATTATACGAATTAGAGACGGTTCCTTTCTGTACAGAATAATAAAAGAAACGAAAGATTAGAACGTCTCACTCCTTTTATTATAGTGCTTTTAATTATTTATTTATTTTTTCTTTCAACTGCCTTCCTGTTTATTTGAGACGATAACTCAAAATATCTAAATAATTTTTCTTTTGGTTTTTATTGGTCTCATTAGGACTCATAAATTTTTCTTAAATATCATCTGAATTTATGGTTTCATTCTTTTTTTTTATTACGCTGTCATTCCATTTAGACATTACGTGTCAGGCGTATTTATAAAAAAAAAATCTTTTTATAAATATGTTAGACGTTTTGTATCGGTTTCGGTATTTTAAATAATATTTAAAGTTAATATAATAAATTTCATTTTATTTTTCACTTTTCTAGTATCTACAATGTCTACTAATGTACGATTATACGTCGAAATATTAACGATCTTTTTAAAAATTCAGTGTTTAAGATATTGTGGTTGCATCTCGCTTCGAATGCCATCTATCGTGACTGTCCTTGTAGTTTTATTTTACTATCAAATTTACTATTTTTTCTATATTATTGCAATCAATTATACATACGCCTATTTTACAAAATGGCGAACTATACTTTTTTATATATACTACATTTAAATTCGTTAATTGAAAGAGGTAAATGGAATTATTTGTCTATTAATATTTGTCTATTGTTTATTCGTGTCTTGATGTATTATTTGCTAAGTTAAAAAAAATATGTCAAAAGAACAATTTATTATTATGTAGACGTAATAGTTTTGTGTGTTTGTACCTAAAGTTGGTGCCATGGTGCCGTGCACTCACGAAGAATTATCTTCATTAATTTAAGTTATACACAACGCGACCGATATAAGAATAGGAGTGACTGCCAATTGTCATTTGGCAAATAAGATTTGCAAGGAATTGTTTAAAATTACACATTTCATCCTGAGATAGACTGCTAAAAGAATAAAAAAAAAAACAGCAGTTCAAGAAAGCTGAAAGCATCGATATAGTTCATTGATAAACTATGGCAACGCGTGAGTAGTACTATGGACATTACATTACTCTGTGAAGTTCATGGTCCCATTACTGTCAGCTTGTTTGTCATTCTAAGTTGCATAAAATATCTCAGAGAACCCGTACTCTACAGTGGGACATTGTTACGTATTTCAATAGCCGATATGTGACAGTATGGCAGATTTACGCTCCTGTTCTTATTTCTTCCGCACTGTAACGTATACCACGCGAGGCTCCTCGTATAAAGTCGAATACAAACACATTTCTATTTTAATTTTAATCGTTATGTTCCTTAATTTGTTAAGTTATTTTAAAATCTCTTTATTAAGCATATCTCGGTTTTGTTCGCTCGTCTTTATTGGTAAACTCTAGACATTTATTATTAATTTCCTTTTAAAAATAAAAAATAATTCCAAAAATTAAATGTATTCCAAAAATTTTTTTCATACTATTAACAGTAAATTCGTTGTAACATAAGTCAATATTGTTTACTAAAAAGGACGGGTAAAGAGAAACAAACTTTCATATTATAAATGGCCAGCAGTTTATCATATAACTTCATAGTCAGTTAAGATAATAACATAATATGTCTAATTACGAACCATATATCAGATTGTTATAGTACCGAATTAAAGTTAAACATTTAAAATTCATGTACACCATGAATCAAGAAATTATATAGTACGCGGCTTTGTTTTGACCACATTTCACCAATGGCGGGAAATTAAAAGAAAAAAATTTAAAGCCTGTTCAGACGATGCCCATTTTGTCAGTTAATAAATTTCCCTGTAAGCTGTGTACTTGCACACGGCATGTGCATGCAATATTAGGGTTATTGTAATCAGACTAATATTTTACGCCGAGAATTATCGCTCCTGGGACGACGAGGCAATCGATTAGAAATATTGCCCACGATCAGAATGTGCTCATTAGAGCGACCATTGTGTGCGCGGACCAAGTGCTCTGTCCGCGAAGGCGAGTTAACAGTTGTGACCACAGACTTGCATAAAACTCTTGAGTGCGTAAAATCGTCTCTCACGGCCCACCATCAAGCCGCTGCTATAGCTGTTTGAACATTCGTTGTGTATATATATACATATTATTATATATATATAAAATATCATTGAAGAGCGTCGTACGCCTATCTTCATGATGGCTGTAATAAATAATTAAACAAAGACTGAAGCATAGGAATAGTGTAATATTTAAAGTATTAACTGTAGTTACTTGTGTACTGCTATGATCAGTCTCAGCGATGCCTTTGTTCATAATTCTCTTTATTTTGTTCAAACACTTCCGTTTTGTTTTGTGTGTTCAGGCCCTTACACGGGCAATTTTTGGACCAACTGTAGGGTTGTCAACTGTGAAATGTGTCCAAACGTTGAAAGCAATATAGAAGAGATTGATAATGTAATTAAAACATATTAGCAATAAGTAACGTTTGATATGCCATTTGCTTTTAGTTTTCATTGACTGCCATTCCTGGCAACAGATGCGGGTGGTAATGAATAAAATTGTAAATCGCTCGGCAATAATCTCTAGGTACAATTGATTCGTTACCGTTGCAGCTGTCTAGTGGTGTCACACCGCCCATTGCCTGGAATTGCGCAATTTAAATTGCCCGTGTAGGCACCTCTGGGAGAGCGGGGCGGACTACCGCCTCTTTTAATTTAGTTACATTAGTTTTAGTGTATTATATTTTAAGGTCTCTATGCCAAACATTGAGGTTCGCCGCCGTACTGATTGCGGTTTGTATGGGCTACTGCCCATATTCGTATACAATGTTGATCACGTACAGTTCAATTTTTGTGTTGTTTCACTTATCTTCTTTTAATTTTTAACCATGTATAATTATACGTATTACAGTTTGATTCTCAATATATTTTCAAATAAAATTACTATATGTTTTTAAGTATGCTTAAGTTTTAATTTTTCCTTTATACAAGAATGATATAATCAATTCACATAACTTATTCGTATCATAAACATATTTTGGCTGTCATTGCTAGTCTTTATCTAAATTTTTAGAAAGTTACACAACACTGGCAGCCAAAATATGTTTAGTGGTGGTTTTAACTTTTATTTTTCTTATGAATTTTGATTAATTAGTAAATTAACATTTTATACGGTTTCGCTCGCGCGAACACATTATTTCTTGTTCCCATGGAGTTTCCGTGATTTAGATTAAGAATGGTTTTTAGATACAGCTTAAATAATAGTACTATAACAAAGACAAGAAAGAGGGCATTACACCTATATATCTGTGGAGATATATATAAGGTCGCTTAAAAATCATGCGCAAACAATTTTGCAACCTACGCGCTGTGCGGAGTGGTGATATTACAATGGCTATTATTGAGCAGTGTTTTGCAATAAGGTTATGGGCTCAATAAAACTGAGATGTGAATTAGGCGTGCCTTTATATCCTACTGGGACAAAAAAAAAAAAAAAAACTCGTAAAGTAATCATTTTTTGTAGACTTGTCAATCACGGATAATCTGATGTTTAAATTATTGTTAATTTTTTTTTAATTTGTCTATAGTGCTAAATAAGGCATATAAATATGCAAATAAAATTAAGCATTGTACTCAAACCGCATTTGATATGTCGTCGCGTTACACTGGCGTGACTAGTTGGACACTTCTGAGGGATATGTCAAACATCTAACTTTAGGCGTTGCGCAAACGCAGGCACACTAAACATTACAGTGTCTTATATTGAGAACAAGCAACCGGCAACCACTAATAAATATATGACTTCCGACTGATTCCACTCGAAACTAGATTGTTGGCAGTTTGAAGCTAATAACTGGCAATTACATGTTGCCTAAAAAATAACTGTGTTGTAATTCCATAATGGAATTTTATTGTACTAATTGTAAAGTTGTCTGTTGATCCACAAGCAATATTATTTTGTAAAATTTAGTCGATAGCAAAAACTGTGTACACGTTTGCGCATCGCCTAATTTTATACAACATTATTATTTGCCAACTAAAATGTAAGCCGTGTAACCAATTATCTCATTAATAAATTGTAGTACCTATGTAATTCCATCAATACGGTGACTTCGCTCACTAGCGCCACGAGGGTTTCTCGTTTGCAAAATGGCGGACGTTTTATCAATTTTATTTTTATTTCCATTAATTTTTAGTGGGTTTTAAAGTTAAGCAAATTATTGATTTTATTTTTTATCATCCTGGATTGTGTTTTAGTAATTGTCCGCGTGGCGGCAGTATGCGAAGGGCCCTAGTTATAGAGACATGTTTGGCTGATTGATGAATTAAATCAGATTGTTTCAATCATGCGATTGGGTTTTCTTTCAACATGGCCGCCGTGCACGAACATGTAAATAACATTTAATAACACCAGGACGACAGATTGTTACATCATTCTGTTCTGTTTAATTTGCTTTTAATTATTGTACGATTAGTTATTATTAGTAAATAAATTCAATTGTTTTCATTTTTGTTTTTATTTTATTCATATTTCAACTTAGAATTAACTTTGTTCTAAGCAGCGCCTAACGCTTCAAAGTTTAATAATATTTTGATTGCGTTCAAACCACTCATTCTAATTGCTTAATACTGAACTTTTTAACCTGCACTTTTTACTACTTAGTATGGAAAACATGCTGGCTGCCTCTTTGATGGAAAGTGGTAATTAACTATTTTATTTATTTTGGATGATCCATTTCGACACAGTAAGTGTATTGGGGGAGCTGGTCTGATTCCTATTGTCTATAGACATGAACTTAAACAACCTTGCACCTCTCCGTTTAGAGAAATACAAAAAATAAAAAATTTCATAGCCCAAGAAAAACTATCTTTAGGAATAGAAATTGCTACTTTGTTTAAATTAAGTCCCGGGTTCGAGTCCCGGTCCGTCCAATTTCGGAAATGTGCTACCAGATGTTCGTTGCCTTAATCCTCATAATACATGGAAGCTTGAGGATCAGACGATTGGTGTGATTATGTGGGATTTATTATGATGTTCTAAGAAAAAAGGTTATGGAATGAACTCCCTGCCGAGGTTTTCCCAAGAGACTACAGCATGGAGTTCTTCAAAAGAGAAAGGGGTAAAGAGGTTTCTTCAGGGTTGGCAACGCGCGCCTAATGCCGCTGGTATTGCAGGTGTTCATAGGCTACGGTAACCGCTTACCATCAGGTGGGCCTTATGCTTGTTTGCCACCTCAAGTAGTATATATGTAGTATAAAAAAATAGTATAAAATAGGACTCTTTCAATTAAATAAAAAAACATCACAATCGGTTCAGATAGGTTTTTATATATATTTATTATATATATTATATATAATTTAATATATATAATTTAATATATATTTTATATTCTTTTTTCGTGAGCATTGTAAAAGGCGACTAAGGGAACTGTTGATCAAGGGATGGACAGTAGCGTTCCTTTTAAAACTTCACTAAAGCCAAACCGGGTTGCTAACCCGCCTGTCAAACCTGGCAACTACGTGCAAACCCAAGTAGAGGGAGGTCTATGTCCAACAGTGGACAGTTAATGGCTGATATGATAATGACGATAGTTATATATATATATACTGCTTAAAAATTGGTGAAGATGTAACCATAAATGTTAAGACTGCATTTAAGTTTGGGTCGAAAAGTTGGTATGGTCCCGCCTATGAGTTTCCGATTCGTGCAATTCATACTAAAGTATTTCTTTTCATTTAAGAGTTTCCTCTTGTCGGTGCAATTAATTCATGCATCTTCCAACCAGCTCTATCCCAGGCCATATCCTCGACCTCCCTATACGACATGACACCTAGTGTCTCCTTTATCTGTCCCATGTATCCTCGGTCTTCCTCTTCCTCTTACTAAGTTACTAGGAGAGCAAAAGTATGCAGAGTATGTGCAAATACATTGTAGTTTGAGAAGAAAGTTACAAGGTTAAATTCTGCGCCGTGACGCATCTGGAGCTGATACCGGGATCACCCGTGACGAAACTCACAAAAAAACCGACTTTAATTGTGTCAAAACAAGTTATTATCTAAAAACTAAACTACTGTATCGATTTTGATAAAATATCTATGGGACCTGTAAATATCATTTTAGAACTTAATACAACTGCAATCTACGTCGAAATGTCGCCAATAAAGAAGCAGGTAAGCAGTAAGTCGTTTGCTTCGGTACCTCTGTCCTTTTGGTGTTTCAACCTTAAAGCAGTTGTGTTTGCATGGCTGTGTTTCGGTTTGAACGTTGGGATATGGCGTGAATTTACAGGGTACAGAGGAATAACACCTGAGTCCTAAGGAATGGCAACGCATGATGGGTATCATGGGCGAAACAGTGTACTCGGTTATGTTCATGTTACTGCTCATGTCTATAGGCGACGGTTACCACTTTCCATCAGGTGGACCGTCAGCTTGTTTGCCATTCTAAGTTGTATAAAAAAAGCAGGTATAAATATCTACGTATTTCATCGCGTTAAATGTATGTAAACAACGCAAAAGTATACAATTAACTGAATACAACTTCCATTCTCATTTGCTTTAGAACAATGTGATGTTTATAATTAAAACGTATAAGCATAATATAAAATAAGAATAAACATATGGAATCAAGATATATATTATGGGGAGAAAACAAGAAGGTAGGTTTTTTTAATGGATGATGATAGAATGTTAATCCCGTCTGCGCTGTTTTTTTTTTGGATTTTAAATATGTTTTGTTTAGGCAATAATTTGTTAAGAAGTTTGGCGATTTCTATAACGATTTTTTTTGATGGGTGAAAGTGGTATGGTAACCGCGCCTGCGCTAACGGGATACGCTGGCGGAGCACCAGTGAAGGGTGATAGATGAGAATGAAAACAGGTCTGTTAGCCCATCATGATGAATTCATCAGGAATTAACCATGATAGTTTCGAGGGGGAACCGCGAGAAGGTCGACCTGGTTGGGTATATTGCTAGTAATGGGATTCTCAGTCTCCATTGTGTGCTGAGGGCCTTTTAAAAAGGAATGTGCTCTTGAAGATTATAATGTCGTATCGGTACGGAAATACTGCTGCTGAAAGTTGTTTACAAAGAGTGGTCGTGCATGGAAGAAAACGGCTTGAAAAACCTGCAAAATACTCATTAACTTAATTGTAAGTAATTTATTGCGTAATATAATTTTTGCTAAGAAATATTGACGGGCTTATATATAACTCTCTTAATATTATAAGTTTATTATTATTATAATAAAGTTATAATATTAAATTATTTATTATTATTATAACTTGTTGTATTATTCCTCGAGGCAGCATTTCCATTAATATGCATATATATATATATATTACGCACACACAAACACATACACACACGCGCACACACACACACACACACACACACACACACACACACACACACACACACACACACACACACTTTTTTTAAGTTAACATGCAGGCTATGTATTTAAATTTTAATTTTTTTAAACTATTGTAGTTTATTAGTATTGTAGTTGCTAGATATAACAAAAATGTCTTCGTTGATGTAACTAGCTACCATACGTTTTAAATGTCTGTTTTGGAATCCTGCAATGAGGAGGAGGGCGTTGATGTTCGCGACACAGTTTTATACTTCTGCGGATATCATCGTTTTTCAATAATATTGTAACCAATGCTTTTGCTCTAAATAAAGAATTATTATTATTATTTTCACACTGTCTTTTACAGTTCTTTAAAATTTCATACAGTGACTCTTATACAAGAGATATAGAAGTCGCCGTATAAGTCTCACGAAACTTATAAAAATAGTATATTTTTTTAGTTTCATTAGGTTCTTTTTTTTATTTTTTTTGCATGCATTTTATCTCTGTCCCTTATGCATTTCAGTAAACCAGCTGATATAACTATTTATGGCAGCTTTACTCACATTTTAAATTCAAGAATGCATGACTAGTTTGAAATTCAATAAGAGCCCTTATTCATGAGGTTCAAGGTCATAGTCTTAAACCGCGCTCATGAATAATATAATGACAAATCGCGAGTTATTGTCATGCAACAAAATCAACTGTTACCCACGGTGTGAACGTGAATTTATTTTAAGAACTTTAGTCTTTTAAGAACTTAATGTAATTAAATTTTGAATTAAATCAATAAATAAATTCAGTGCTGTATCAGTTCTGGCTTATCATTTTCGTGGAAAAGTAATTAACGTCAGTAATGCCATTAACATTTACGATAACTTTATCTAATTTTGCATTGCAGTATATTTCTTTTTTATAATTTGTTGAGTTTGTTATTTAAGCAAAAAATACTGTGTAGTCCTGGCATAGAATAGGCCAGCTCTTCCCTTCCCGTGGGTGTCGTAAGAAGCGATTAAGGAAATTTAATGGACGAGGGATGGACTAACAGCGTCCTTCTTAAAATATCCAAGGCCTAACTGTGGTTACCAAGTTGCTCGCCAAGCATGACAACAATTGACAACTTCAACGAGGGGGAGACCCATTTTTAGCAGTGGACAGTTAAATGTCTGAATCATGATCAAGATAACTTATATCTGAAAACTAGCCAAGTGTTACCTTTATGATCTGGGGGAAATGGATTGTTGGTAATGGGGTCTAACTGACCCATTGCTAGCAATACACCCTATCAGGTCGACCTCCACGCGGTTCTCCCTGAAAACCATCGTGCTCATTTCTAGTGGAAATCGTCACGATAGGCTAACTGACCTGCTTTCATCGTGATACTGATAGCGCAGGCGGGGTAATCACTCCATTTTCATCCATTAAAAAAAGAGCAATTTTAGTAAGTGGATATTTATGTATATAATCCCCGAGTAACTGTATAACTTATAATAACATTTAAATTTTATTATAAAATATTTTGTACTAAAATGTAGCGGTGGTCTATGTTTGTTTCTTGAGACTGAATTAATGTCATCTTGACAGTAGGTAAATTGTGTGAGTGAACCAGCCAGTTGACAAATCGTCCCGCCCCTTTACAAAGTTATTCGGAAGTTGGTAGGTGCGGTAAGTCCAACCAATAAAGATTGATTTATGATATATATTAGTGATGAATAAGGATCGTATTATAGCTGTATCTTTTGCGCGCCCAGGTACTATTTCCTTCCTTTACTGTACAACTAACTCCAATAAACTTCTAGTCTACTGGTATTACGTGCACCTGTTTATTTGAAAGTATTACAAGAGTCGAAAAGCGAAAAAGATATTATGTTAACACCTGCACGGTTCTATTCGCCGAGTACTAAATGTCATTCTACAGTTTCATTCCAATATTGATGATTCAATTTATAAACAAAGTTCTACTCTCCTGTTATTTCATCTTCTTATTTACTTAAATTTATTTAGAATATAAATTATATATATATAGAAGGACGCATCCGCCGTATCGAATATCGATGTTAACACCTTCTGTATGGTTCTATCTACCTAGTACTTCCTCGCCGTTGTAGGATAGGTTAGTGTGTATTAAAATTATTAACGTAACAATGTTGTT